CTGTAGAGGGCAGCATCACTGGCCCATGTGGGATCCGAACTGGGGTCCCGCTGCTCAGAGTTCACGCTCCCAAGCCAACTCTTAACCAACAAGCCACTCGGCCGGCTCTCTATTGTATCTTTATTTCATTCATTTCTCCTCTTTAGTGCTGGGCGTATTTTGGGTTTTTAAAGTTTTATTTTTTGGGACTAATTTAAGTTGAATGTTTTGACTCGATTTTCAGCCTTCTAAGGCATTCAAAGCTATGATTTTTTTTTGTTTGTTTGTTAAGGTCACTTTAACAGAATTGTACAAGTTTTGATAAATAATAGTTTTGGGATATTTGTAATTTGTCATTAAGATTTTTTATTAACTATTGAGAAATGTGTTTTAAAATAACGTAAAGGTTTTCCTAGTTACCTTTTACTATTGATTTCTGATTAAATTTCAATTGTGATTGAAGAATGGGATTTTGACATATATATTTTTTATTCAAGACTTTATGACTCATTATGGAGAATTTTCTTACATATTTCATGAGTACTTGAAAACAGGATTCTAAATGATAGGCATGGGTTCTGTATGTGTCCATTGCATCAAGCTTGTTAATTGGGTTATTTAAAGACTCCCTGATTTTTGGATTATCAGTTATTAGAGAAGCTATTTAACCCCCCTACCCCCCAGGATTATCGATGTTACACTTGTCATTCTAGCCATTTTTTACTTTAAAAACATAGTCACGAAATATGTAGTCAAATAGAAATTTTGAATTGTCTTCCTGGAAAATTGAACTTTTAAAAAATCATTAAGTACATACAACCTTTACCCCAATATTGCTTTTGTTTCCCCTTGTATCTGTCTTGTTTATATTAATATTCTATACCTGCTTTCTTAAAGCTATTTTCCCACTTTCCACTTTTTAAAAATGTTAATGTTTCTGTGTCTGTGTTTTAGGGGTATGTCCTATAAACAATATAGCTAGATTGTATCACTTAAATTTGTTTTTATCATCTGTTAACTGGTAAATTTAGTTCATTTACATTTATTGTGATTAGTGACATACCTGGCTTCATTACCAACTCATTTGGTGCTTTCTATTTTCCTGAAAGCTTTTTCTTTTTTCTTTTTTTTAAAATTGGGGAACAGTGTGTTTTTCCAGGATGCATCAGCTTCAGGTCGAGTAGTTGTTTCAATCTAGTTGTGGAGGGCGCAGCTCAGTGGCCCATGTGGGGATAGAACTGGCAACCTTGGTTTTATGAGCACTGCGCTTTAACCACCTGAGCTAACCGGCCGACCCCTGAAAGCTTTTCCTATCCTTTTCAGTTTAGTCCAGTTTTTTTCTCTGCTTAGTTTTAAAAGTTATACTCCTGCCCTCTTTAAGAGGACGGCACAGACAGAAGGGAGCTGCTGCCTCTTTCAAAACCGATGTCAACGCAGGGCCAAAAGCCCCAACGCCAGGCAATGCAGAAAAACCTCCACACCCGCACAGGAAAACCTGCCTGTCACTCACTCTGCGGCAGCTCACCCACTGCAGAAGAGCGCCCCTCACAGGAACGAGTTTCACACTGCCATCAAGCTCCCTTGACCTGTCAGCCTTGAAGCTGCAGGATCACACTGCACATGTCAGGCAGCTCTGTGACATGACGTGGCCAGGGCCAAGATTGCAACCCGTGTCAGGTCTGATTCAGAGCAGGCAGACTTCCCCTGGCTCCTGCTGTTCGCTCTGGATACTGCCACTTCAGTGGGATCATCTAAACCAGGGGTCAGCAAACTGCGGCTCGCAAGCCACATGCAGCTCTTTGGGTATGTTCTGTCTCAAAAGTTTGCGGACCCCTGGAAGAGCCAATCCTGTCCCTCACAACAATTTAAAAATTATTCAAGAGCCATAAATATATTTTTACATAATCACCATTATGTGAATAATATCCTTAAAAAATTTTATAAATGAAACTATGATGGTTTTGTTTTCATTTTAATTTTACTTCAGAGCCACATGTACATACCCAAAAAGCCTCATGTGGCTCGTGAGCTGCAGTTTGCTGACCCTTGGCGGCTCTTCTGTCTCAAAAGTTTGCCAACTCCTGGTCTAAACCATCATAAACTTGCCCCCAGCTAAAAAATAGGAATTCCATATGCTTCGCACTCACTTTAGTGCTGAACTTGATTTTGTGGTATCTAAAGATCAGATTCTCAGCTTCCTACCAAGTAAAACAGGGATCTTACACTGCTTCAACTCATATCACATCCCACCTCTCCTGTCGTTATGGCTCAGTCCTTCAATTCTGCCAGAGTTAACTTCCCCAAATTGGACACTATTATGAGTATTTTATTCAAGGTTTCATATTAACTCTCAAAGTTACAAGACTTCTTACACCTCAGACCTCCCTTCTGGGATTCCTCACCTTCCTTTAGTGAGAGCAGGTTCATAGTAAAGTGTTTTTTGTCTGACAAGAACTTATACTTGATCGTAAATGCTATTTAATGACAGATAATTTTAAAGATGACATTTACTTCACCTCTTTGAATTTATTTGTCTTCTGGCTTTTGTTGTTGAGAAGCTGTCAGTCTAATTATTTCCTTATCTTTTCTCATCTGCCCTTTCTCTTTGATATTCATCAATTTCACTGCAATTGATGTGAGGATTGGTTTTTAATCTGTCTGCTTGAACTGTCTTTTCCTTCCCAAACCTGAGACCTCAGCTCTTTCAGCTCGTCTGGAGAATCATCAGCCTCCGTAAATACGGCTGCTCCCCACTCTTCTCTCATCTTGGACCTATGAAAACGTTTTCATTTCCCATCTCTTTTGAGCTCTTTCCTATTTCCCATCATTTTCTTTACTATATAATGGGGAAATTTATTCCTTTTGTCTCCTAATTTACTAATATTCTCTTTGGCTTTCATTAATCTTCAATTTAGTGCCCCGAGTTTTAAATTTCAATGATTAAATTTTTCCTATCTGCAAGTTATTTGCCTTTTTTGGAAACCTTGTTCATTTTTTGATCCCATCTTTCATTTGATTAAAATAGAATCATTTAAAATTCTTGGGAAAGGCTGCTAATACTTTGTTTCTACTGACCCTCATTCATATTTCCATGTGTGCTGCACATTTGGGATTGGATTGGAATGGAGTTCGTTTTTATATGCCTGTGAGACCCAGGGTTATGGGTATGTTCATCCAGGAATAATCTGTTTACATCTGCCAGGCACCATCATGCTAGGGGTGACTCAAATTAACTGGCTTGTCGTTTTCTGGACCACAGAGGTAGTTTAAACATGAATTCCAGACCCAGGTGGCATCTCTCACCTGGTACCCAGGCTGAGACAGACTCCTAGTAGTCTTCTAGCCTCCTTTTGCCAGTCTGCTTTCACTGCAGGGAACTCTTGGTTCCAATGCACCAGCTTGCCAGTAGCCTAACATTGTCTACTGTTAAGGTTGAAGACTAGAGAAATGTCACAAGGGCAGTGAAAACTTTAAGTGGAATGATAGTAAAGTTTGGGCGCAACTGCAGGCACAAGGCAGGTGTGTGTCTGGCAGAGAGCATGCTCAACGTCGTGCGGCTGCAGGAATGTCAGCCTCTTTCGGACAGCGCCCTCCTCCCAAAAGCCCAGAACTGCTTACTGCAGAAATGGGTTTGTCTTCAGCACCTGCAGGCAAAGGACTGGGGGGGCGAAGGGAAACTGCTGTGAAGAAAGGTGTAAAAGGTTATAGTAATCAAGGTGATCTGGGATGGATTTAAAGTGCCACACTGGGATGTGTCGGTTCATACATTGCTCTGAATTATATTTTTAAAAGTTTGGAGTAGTGGGAGATATTTTATACCTAGAAAACACAATGTAGTTAGCCTAATGAATTGAAGTTCACTTCTCCAAGTATTGTTGAAGATCAAGTGTAATTTCTTCTTGGACCAATTTATCCCCAGAGCCCATGGGCAGCATGTCGTCCATGGAGGTCAACATCGACATGCTGGAACAGATGGACCTGATGGACGTATCTGACCAGGAGGCCCTCGATGTCTTTTTGAATTCAGGTGGAGAAGAGAACGCTGTGCTGTCCCCTGTCGCAGGTAGGTGACAAACTTGTATGAACTTCCTACTTGTTAACCTTATTTCCCTGCAGAGGGAAGACACTCTAATCATGTACAGGTCGCTAAGCCCCCCAGTTCACTTGTTCTGCGCAGCCACGTTTCCATACCTGAGCCTGGTCTCGGTAGTGGGCAGATGAAACACTGGCTGTCCGGTCACCTATCTGTCAAGATCGTAAGTGCTCTGCCCAAGTACCTTCCAAAAACAGGAGGTTTTCCTAATTTGTGTTTTACCTCCTCCTGTCTTGTAATTTGAGTTGGGTTTTGTGATTAGAATTTGTGGCCCACACACCTTGTGCTGGTCTGAGCGTGCATTTGTCTTCTTTAAACTATTTATTTCATCTCTGCTGCGGGCAAGGCTGAGGTGTGTGGTCAGCATTTAGCTTTATTTTAAACATTAGTTGCACCCCGCTGGACACTTCCATTGCGTTTAATGCCTCCTCACATTTTTACAATCATTTGGCAAGTGTTTATGGAGGCTCCAGACCTATACGGGCTCAACTGATTGTAAATTTCAGAGCAGACCTTCTTATGTAGACATGATTACAAAATAAACATTCACGTTTTTCCACACAGGCGGCTAAACAGAATCCTCCAGGGGCACTGTGTCCCACTCGAGACAGTGTCGCCATAACATAGCTTCCACGTTCTCTAAAGTCAGCCCCTCAGAGCTTTTGTCAGTTTGTGCTGTCTTCAACTTCTCGGTCCTTTTCTCTCAGCAAATCCATGAGAACAGTGTTGTCCCCGGGAGGCCAGGCCTGTCTGGATGAGGCTGGGACCCCAGCATTCGGGAGGACTGCTGGCCCCTTTCCCAGAGTCAAGCAGAAGTTTAGAATCAGTGACTCCATCATTTGTGTATAATTTTGATTCCTTTAAGAACTTACTTCCCATGAAATTGGAGAAACGCTAAAAGATCAAGGGTTTTTCTCTTAGCATTGATTTCTTGAATACTTCAAAAGGATATGAAGAAGCCTAGATCATAAAGGTTACTTGGCATGCTCCTCAAAGAAATGCAGTACATGCCCTGGGGCTTCAGCACAGCACTTCACAAGATGGTGCAGGAAGCTTCAGGAGCTTTCCGTTTGTCACAGGTGGCAGGTCTGCTCGGGGCCTCAGCCTCACCTAGCTTACTGCCTTCTGGGGCCAGTTCCAGCACTGTCATCGGCAGCCTAGTTCTGCAGGCCCCAGCTCACTGGAACAAGAAACTTATACCCTTTTTATTTATGCGAGTTCAGACCACCATCTTCAGTGGCAATTCTGAATTGCAACACTTTTATCAAAGGTTTTGTTCTATGTTGTTGCAGGGCCTGAATCAAGTATTGGTCAGAATGAAATTACTCTTCAGGTTCCAAATCCCTCTGAATTACGAGCCAAGTCTCCTTCCGTATCCTCTGCCTGCACTGACCCAGCCACCCAGGACCCCAGTGAAGGTGGGGGGTCCCCCATTGTTCAGTCTGACGAGGAAGGAGTTGAGGTGGACACTGCTCTCGCCACTTTACACACAGACGACAGTGATTCCTAAACCTGGGCACGCCCGTTTTCTGACCACCTCTGAAGGCAGACCCAGCTGTGTGCAGAATCCCACTGTGAAGGCAGGTGGTTTGACGGAGGCTCTTGATTTTCACACAATTGCCAATAATTTGTGAGAAACTGAAATAACAGCTAACAATAAAAGTTTGAGGACTTTAAACTGAGTGAGTCCATGGCCAGTCTGTACGGAAAGGTTCTAAATACACACATCCTTCAGGCCTGAGTGCAGGAAGGGTGCCTCGTGTCCACCGGCTCAGTACAGAACGAGAAAAGCCCTTCAGACAGAAAATCCTGCTTCCTCCAAAATCTAACTGTAGTTAAACTCAGCTCTCACACAGCTCAGGTTTTCATCTGATTCATGATAAACTATTACCTAACCCCTACTAGTGTTAACACTAGAACAACATCTGGGCCCAGAGGAAGAGAAATAAACTAATAAGCCAGATCACTGAACCATTCTCACTCCTGACAAGACACTGGTCCCAGAGATGGGTCTTCCCCATCACCACTCCTCACAGCCCAGTACCTGGCGAGCAATGAGACCATCTGCTTAGACCGATGGGCACTGTAGCCTGAGCAAAGCCCTGGCACCCGGCAAAGGGATGGCCGCAGCCTGCTGTCCCAGTGCCGCACCATGGGGACGTGCCACTAGCTGGTCCCCACTGGGCCACAGAAAACAAGAGGCAAACAGCAGCCGTTTGGTTTTGCTCAAAGGGGCTTCAAACCACCAGCAGCAGATGCAAAGTGAGCAAGATCAAAACGTGTTGTCTGTGCCACTTCCTGGCTGAGGAGATGCTCAGCCCTCTGCCCATTTATCAGAAAAGAGTTCATTTCATTCACTCATCTTCCAAAAGACAGACAAATGTCCAAAAAAAGTTTGTTTTTATTATTAAACCTTGTAGTACAAACCTGAAAAGTAAACAAAAAACTGGCAATAAACAACATGAAGTCTTCCCTCCCAAGGGAGGAGTGCAGAGCAGCGCTAATAAATTAAATGTCAAACTGTAAGCCATAGGCAGAAGTTCACTGTCAAAAAGAGGGAAAGTACACAGCAAGGCCATAAAAACCGGACAACCACATTGGAAAACACTTGACTCTGTTTATGTAATTGTTAAATATTCCAAAACAGTTCAGTCTTCTGCAACAACAACCAACAAAGTGGATCACAGGACGCTCCTGACAGTCCCACTGGCAAGCTCAGTGCAATATGGGTAGCTACGGGATCGATGAATCCAATTATGAAACAAAGAACAGCTTGTGAAAACAGTTTCCCTTTTTTATTCCACACATACTGTACACACAACCGGAGAAGGGCAACAGCTACTCCATTATTATTTTGTTGTTGTTCAGTGATGTAAGCAGCACTTATAAATGTTACAAGAAAAACCCTGTAAGCATCCAATCCAACCGATGAAGAAACTGAAATGTAAGGCTTTTCTTCATCTTGTCTTCTCACCCCCCTCCCCACCCCCCACCAAGAAAAAGGCTCAAGTATTTAAAACAATTTACAGGCGTATGTACAAAAGGATGGGATTCATTTTTTTTTCATTTTTTTTTCTTTTTGTTACAACATGAAGAGAAAAAATAGACAAGATGAGCGCAAATGCATTTTCACATTCAAAAAGAACTGCAGACCTCCTAGTGGCTCTAAATGATCATAAACGAAACAAATTTAAAAAGAAGGATTAATGCTGACTTGTGAAGGTGTGAAACAACAAGCAGTGAGATGAAGATGGAATGTTAGAAAGATTGCACGTCTATGACAAAGAAGCACTTACGGCTTCAATCACTTTTTTTTTTTCCTTAAGGATGCTATTGAAGGGTTTTTTGATAAAGTAGCCAACAGCACCAAAAAATAACAGAATGGATTTCCTAATGAAATCAGGCACAGGTTTCCCGCACGTGACCCCTCCAAGGCAGGCAGTCTTTTTCTTCTCTCGCTTTTCTTTTTTCTTTAAACAGATGCATAGTGATGTGCTGGTAAAGAGAACCTAGTCACGCAAATCTCCTCATTTTGCCCATGGTTAGGAAACAACGTCCGCCTTCAGCTGCCATAACCGCCCAAAGAAACAAAATGGGGGTTCTCCGGTTTTAAAAAATTACAAACTCATCTTGCACATGACAGAAGAATAGACAGCCAAAGTAAAGCCATTTCTTTTCAAGTTTCTTTGTGTGTGTGTGTGTGTGTGTGTGTGTGTGTGTGTGTGTGTGTGTGACTCCTATCCCTTTTCCTCTCTAGAAAAATCTGCTCACATGACTGATGGTTTTAAAATTTGTTCTCCAAACTTCACCGTCTTCAAAAATGGGTTAAAAAGCCTTTTTTCCCCCAACAGTTACAAAAAAAAAAAAAAATCAAACAAAAAGGCTTTTGTCAGCCACAGGGGCGATACAAATTAATACAGCCCCTCAAGGGTTTTAAAACAGTGAATATACGGCAGTTTCAAAAATCTGACTGCAGTATCTAGGTATTCTAAGTACAAAAAAAAGTTCAACAGTTTAATGCTAAAACAAAATTAGTTCTCTAAAACCAGAAGAAAATCTTCTTTAGAGCTAGTGCAAAGACAGCTTGTATCCTACAGCAAGTACTCCAAACTAGAATGTAATAATTACAAAAAAATAGATCTCGATTGAGCACGGTGTTGGCAGCTTCACGATGCACTCGAAGCACTTCGGGACGACATGGAGGACGAAAGCCGGGAGGGCGGCACGTCCACTGTTGCTCTCTTGCGGGGCCCCCTTTTTGGTGTAGGTTTACCGAGACAGTTCTCAATGCTGCCGTTCTTACCAGATACCTTGCCACAGATCTGATTGACCAGACTGATAATCTGTTCCTGTTGCGGGATGAAAGGAAGACACAGAATTAACACCAAAACAGCGCTGTCCCCAGAGCCACCCAGGGGAACCTTGAGCTGAGCTTGGCAGGCTGCCAGGCACCCTCCTCAGACCATATCAAACCAGAGCTCTCAGCGCTGCCCGAGGAGCATCACCCAAGGAGTGTCTGCCAGGAAAGCCGGAGGGGCTTTGCAAGACTCCCGCAGCCTGCGATTCCGACACGCAGTGGCTCAGAGGACGGGTCAGACCACGTCCCCTGACTGGACATGGCAGGTAAGAATGCCTTCCTCCTCAGGGAGACACCAGCATGGTGCGGGGTGAGATGCACGGAACGCCTGCCTCGTCATAGCCACCTAACCTCCCTCTACTTCCTTGTCCTAAGGTCAAGGGAGCCTGATAGCCTGGTGGCTGCGAGGTTTAGACAAATATGCTAAAGCCCCAAAATGGTACACCAAGTCCTATCAGCACACAGTAGGTAGCTAAGAGCTGCATTCCGATGGGGATCTGTGCCTTTACCTGGGGTACACAAATGCCCTCACCACATAGCCAGGTGAACACACCTGAGACACACGGAGAGACACGCCTGCAGGCTGACCACCTGGACCCCCCCGGTGGGTGACCCCTACCATCTCGGGGTTTAAAGAGGTTAGCCGGCTGCCACCCCGGGTCCCCAGCTAGGAAGGGCTGAGCTAGGCTCAGTTCCCCACCTCGGGTCCTCTCACTTGCTCTCTCTGGACGGTGACAAGTGCCCGAGCTGCTGTTTTACTGGCTGCCCTGACATTCCAGTGCCTGTTTCACCTGCTTCTCTAGTAATATTTCCATTGTCCCTCTCCTCCGTGAAGGGGAGATGGCAAACGAAACACGCGTTCTTATAATTCACTTAAGAGAACCATTTATCTGTTGCTGATCAAGAATATGTTTATAACTCAATCATCCAGTTTTAAAAGACACCACAGGAAACAGTATCAAAATGGCAGCACGTAGCCGACCTACGTCATGCAACCTGCCCTGGGCGGTAAGTCCAGGGCCTGCTCTCTGACCTTCTGGAAACAGAGCCACTGAGGCACTCCTCATATCCAAGTGAAAGGTGTCTGAAAAGAAAGCTGAAGGCGCCCTGGGAAGGGGATAGCTGTACATTTGTAACCAACCAATCTGTCTGGCCATTTAGAACATTTACAATAAACATGCTAATAAGGGACAAATATTAATAGATGCGCTTCTCTAAAACCCAGCTACATGTGTGACTAAAGCCACCTCAGCACACTGCAGTCAGAGGACATTCCGCCTGCATCCGCGACCCAAGGGCCTGGACGTGGGGGATTTGTCTGCTGGGCACTCGGGGGCTCAGAACGAGAGCTGGTGGTACTCGCAAAGCTATTTCTGAAATCCAACCCAGAGCTAGAAATTCCCCTATTAAAAAAAAGCACAGTTCAAATCGGGACAGACTTGCAGATTTTCATTTACTAAAATAAACCCAGCCACTGGCAGAGTAGGCGGCTTCTAAATACCTTGTTCTTTTCCTTACTCATCACCACAGATGACTAAGCTGCAGACTGACAGACCCTACATATGCGAATCTTTTCCCAGGATTTTGGTCCCATCAAAACACCTATTGCTACAAAATGGGCTGGAGGTGGAAACGAATCCCCATTTTGTAGAGCTTCGAAATCACCCTGGAGAGGCCCCGGCTGCCGCCGGCTACCACCGGCTGCCACCGGCTGCCGCGCTCTGCCAGTTACCAGAGAACGGTTCTTACACTGCGGGGTTATTTTTAACCGTGTTCTGACATTTCCTGTGAAAGCCAAGAAGCAGGGAGGGCAAAGCGGTTACTGCCTTCGCTGAACATGCTCTTAAAGATGTGGAGATCCATTTTTCAGCTTTCCGGTCTTATAATTTAGCCACAGGCTTATATCAAGTCAGACACGGTCGAAGTCGCTCCCCCACCCCCGGTGCCCTGTCCCCTCCTGGGTCCCGCCTGGGCACCCGGCCCTGCTCGGGGCTCAGATGTGTGATGGCCAGATTCGGTCACCTTCCACAGGCCCAGGCTCTGTGGGTCTCGGGGTGGGGGAGGAGCAGGAAGGCTTGGGGCGGGGCCCATGGCCACACGGGGTTGGGCCCCGCATGCAGCGATGGGGACCACCCTCCAGAAGGAGCGGGCGAAGGGGGCCCAGGGGAAGGGCCCCAGGATGCCATGGGTGCAGCAGTGGGCAGGCCAGGATGGGTGACATGGTCCCCATGGCAATCTGAGACGTAAGCCCCAAGAAGGGCTCTGGTCAGTCAAGAAGTGAAAGGTGCCCTCTGAGGGCAGGGCCGTGTATTCCAGGAAGCTGCCAGTTTATATCTGCAGAGGCGATTGCAGCAACTTGGAAACACTTAGAATAAACTGCTAGGGGACAGTGACAGAGTCACATGCTCACACTTGTAGAGGACAGCCCCGATACAAGGACTTCTGCGATCCCCTCAGCTGAGGAAGCACACCTATGGCGGGGGTGGGGGGTGGCTGGGGGGAGGCCCTAATCTAATGGACTGTAGAGACCAACGAGCTGGCAGGGAGGGGCTTCAGAGGGAGCCTGAGGCCAGCTGGGGGTCTCAGTAAAGACACGCGTGAAGCACAGGAACTAGGGAAGGAATGGAGGGCAAGCCCCATCGGAGACCAGGTGGAGGCTCCGTAAACGGCAGAAGCACTGGCAGTGGTGAGAAATGGCCGGGCCTGGGGTTTACTTAGAAGGTGGAATCAACAGGGTTTACAGAATGAGAGGCAACATGAGAGAGAGAGAGAGGGGCTCCATATTTTAGCTGAGGGCCCTTGGGTGAGGACAGAACTGGATGATGCAATTCCCTGCCGGGTGTGGAGCCTGGGGAGTCTCAGAGCCTCTCCCCGGCCGCCTCGGTCTCATGGGCCAAAACCCTGGCCCTGCCTGGCTTAGCAAGTGGCCCGCAGGCCGCCGGAAGCCTGTGTTGCATGCTCCGAAGTTCTCGACTTGAGACTTGATAACGAATTCCTGACAAGATCAAAGCTGCCTTTTCCATAAAAGGAGATGGAAGGCGCCTATTCTGCCAAAGCGCCGCGATGCCATCACACGCCCCACTGCCCCAGCCCCACCACGGTTACAATGGTCGTTTTATGCATGAGGACACGGGTGCAATGTGCAGAATCCCAGCCACCCGTGGCGTGGGGCTCTAGGTCAGACCAAAAGCTCATACTGATCCACATTTTCTGAGCAGAAATTCCCTTCCGAGCCCTGTTAACTGCACACCCCAGGGAAGTGACACCCCCACACGCAGAAGTACATAGATGTGGTCAGCTGTTAGGCGAGGGACTCATTCATTTACGCCTCAGGCTCCATGGACGACAGTCAGGAAAGCTGCTCTGGCCCTGTCTCCGGGACACAGAATTGGGCCCTCTGAGAACACAGACCGGAGAGGCTTGTTTTGAGGCCCTGGAAGCAGGAGGGAAGGGGGGAGAAGGCCCTCATCCTCCCTGCGGATCAGCGCTGGAACTGGTCACCTCCGGTTTGGGTCTGTCCTGTGACATGGCACAGGCAATCCCCTGTCCCTTCTGGACCTGAGCCATGGCCACAGGTAACAGCGCAGTGCCCCATTTCCTTAGCAGCCTAGCCAGACAGTGTGGCCCTGGTGGCCAGGAATGCTGACGGACGCTGGGGGGGACAGGAAGAGGCTGCGGCCCCGCCAAGCGCCAGGGAGGAGGTGTGGACAGGGCTCCCTGGCAAACAGCTACGGTGAACACGCCGAACACCGGAAAGAAACCCAGTGTGTACAAGGGAAATATCCAGTTTCAGTTCCTGGGTTTCTCCAGGCCTCCCCTCCGGGAACACAGAGCTCCTCTCCCATAAGCCAGGCTCTGTCTGGCCAGAAGTGGCCAGAGCTATGCAGGCTGCGCTCAGTCTATGCCGGGCCCAGCTTGCCCTAGCTGGGTGATGACAGAGGCTCAGGAGTCCCTACAGGAAACGAGGCAGGTGATACGGGCCATCCCCTGCAGGGGCCCTGGCTGCCTGGCCTCGGGGCACTGACCTCATCGTAGCGGTACATCAGCTTCAGTCCTCGGCAGGACTTCTGCTTCTCCACGTGGCGCAGGGCACACTCCAGGCAGAACACGACGTTTTCATTCTCCTGCACGACCTACAAGGAAGAAGCACTCCTGAGGCTCGGAAGGGGATCGAAACACTGCTGTGTGGGGAGGGGCAATCGAAAGAGTGGAGAGAGTTCCCAGGGATCAATCACGGACAGTCTGTCCCTGACATCTATCGTCCAAGCTAAGGAGCGTCCATGACTCAAACACACCAGAAATTGATGAATAAAAAAGAAAAAATCATCTGGAACAAGGTCTTCAACTAAGAAACGAATAACTATCTCCAAGTGCACCAAAGGGTGGCCTCGAGTCCCCTCCAGATTTCTGCTGTTCGCTCCTGTGTGACAGGTTCTAAGCGCCATTAGAAGATGGGATGAAGTAGTGACGCTTGTTTATAAGCTCTCACGTTCTAAGAGCTTCTGAGACTTTTTCTTCAAAAACTCCCCTGGCACAAGAGGTATCAGAAAGGATCAGGCGCACAGCACATACCCAGGACATCCTAATGGCCCAGTCAATCCAGCCAGTTCTATGGAAGGTGTGCCCACACACCACTGGGGGTGGGATGGGGTGGGGGGGGCGCAGGTCCAATGCCTGTCCAAACTCACCCAAAACTCTACCCATCACACTGCTTGATCCTCTGCAACCCAGACAGGCCCCTCCTGCCAGCCCCCACTGAAACCTTCAGCTGCGGTGTGAATGCACCCGGGCGCCCTCAAGACCACACGGAGCGTGTGCGGGCAGCGTGGGGACTGGCCTGACCTACCAGACACAGAGCACGGGCAGATCTGGGCCGAAGGGCAGGGAGAAAGAACGGCTGCCTGCTTTGTGGGGGTTCTCATCCCCGACCCCAACTTCAAGTCCTGTTCATATGATGTAATTTAAAGGGGGGGGGAGGGGCACGGGGGAAATGCTGCCTTAAGTCACAAAAGGTTCACAGGCCTTTTCATAAAGATTTAGAGAATCCAGGATTCCTGACTTCAGTGTTTCTAAGCGAAGATGAGAACACAAACTGTAGGAGTGAGGAAATGACACTTATTGGCAGAAACACATCACCTTTTACAGACACTTGGGGCTAGGGACAGGAATGGACAAAAATATGAAACAGTCAACAAAACTGCACACACTTATTAGGAATGTAAGCAATGAAAATTGTAACTAACTACAACCTCAATTTTTACCTATGGATGTAGGATATGTGCTTTAAGAAATAACATTCAGGCTGATAAGAAATGCCGGGTGACAACTCTCAAGGTACAACTTCCTGAAGGACAGCTTAAAAACAAGCCCACATGCTGCCGTCCTCAACGCTCATGGGAACAGACCACTGCCACACTCGGAGGTCACGACAGCGGCTTTCATCCTCACGGGAAATAACACGATTGTTCCTTCTCACGGGAATGATTCCCTTCCGGCACAAGACCAAGACGGATGGACACACCTAATCTCTTCTTAAAAGGACACCAGTCAGATTGAGTCAGGGCTTCAACACATGATTTTTTGGGGGAGGGGGAGGGGGATACAAGGACATTATTCTTCAGCCTTCTCATCCCTTTTCATCTCAGGTAATCCAACCTTGAGAGACACACAAAGGAAATGGACTTTGGTGTTCCAGATACCAGCCTGAATAACTTTCTTTTTTTTTCATTTAACTGTAAACTTCCCCCCCCCCTTCTTCTGCTTCATTTCTAGGTCTTACAATTTTAGGTACTAATTCTAAAAATATATCCACTTTATAAAATGCATTACAATTAAAAAAAGAGGAATGGACACAGAAGCACTCAGCATTTATGAATGTTTACAAAGCTGTTTAAGGTCCATAGAAATGCTTACGACTTTTGTTTTAAAAAAGCATGGTTCTTGATTATATATTTTTATAATATATATCTGGGAAAAGAAGACTAGATATAAGAAAACACATAAAATGGGCCGTGTGGTTGTTATGGACTAAGTTATATCCTCCACGCCCCCCCCCNAATATATATCTGGGAAAAGAAGACTAGATATAAGAAAACACATAAAATGGGCCGTGTGGTTGTTATGGACTAAGTTATATCCTCCACGCCCCCCCCCCGCCCCCCCCCCGCCCCCACTTCCCCCAATTCATAGGCTGAAGTCCTAACCCCAGGACCTCAGAATGTGACTGTATTTGGAGACGGGCCTTTAAAGAGATTAAGGTAAAATGAAGTCGTATGGGTGGGGTCCAGTCCAATATGACTTGTGTCCTTACAAGAAGAAGAGATGAAGACATACACACAGGGAAGACACAGGGAGAAGACAGCCATCCAGAAGCCAGAGAGCCTCAGGAACCAACCCTACAAGCACCTTCCAGCCTGTCCCACTGTGGGGACACAGATGTTGCTGGGTAAGCCACCCAGCCTGTGGGACTTGTTACGGCAGCCTGAGCAGCGTAATGCAGCTGTTTCTCCCCATTCTTTCAGGTTTCTGACCCCTCAGATGTTACAAGGGCACCTCATTCAACCAGGGGCATGATCCCTGTTTGCAGGGCAGCTGGGTGGGTGCCGGGCACACAGGTGAGGCAGCATGACAGTCACGCAGGGCGTGACCAGGAGGCCAGAGAGTCAGATCTAGTCGCGCTCGCTCTGTGCTTCGGTGGCTGCGTGGGCCTCACGCAGTCACGTGTGGGGCACTGGTGCCATGCCGGTACGGGGCAGGCACTTACTATCTAAGCTGCTCCTTCTGGAGGAAGAATCCACACGGGCGGGGAGCAGGCACGAGCACTGGAGGCCGCGAGTGCCAAGCTGAGGCCTCTGGCGGTGGGGGCGCCCTGAGTGGGAGCTGGGGCACCCAGATCTGTGTCAGCTCAGCCATCCAGAGGGAGGCGAGAGACGGGCTGAAAAGCAGAGGCGAGCGCTACACCAGCCCGGCTATCCCCTCAACCAGGGTCCTCCCGAGCCCTCTGGCCTGAGACGGGGCGAGATAGTAAGTGTGTCCGTGATCACACCAAGGCTAAGCCTGGCTGGGACAGAGAGAGAGCCTCTCGGGGCGCTGTGGGGGCAAACCCGAAAAAACCCAAAAGGAGGAAGGCTGGGCGGACGGCGCCGGCAGGCGGAGAGGCGGCTCAGGGAGGCCAGAGAACAGAGCCTGGAGGCCTGAGGCGACTCTGACCAGAGGCTGGGGGTCTGGAGAAGGAGGGGGGAGGAACGCAGCTGAGGAGGAACACTGGTTTTAACTAAAAACAGACTGTAGAGTCCTCCGGGGCCATGAGCTTGGTCACGTAGCTGAATGGAAACGGGGAAGGAGCCAAGGACAGACACGGGGCCCCACTTCTCCGGGGCAGCAGAGTGGGGATTGGGAGGCACTGTCCGCGGACATGTAGCTGCAGGCGAGAACGCAGACCCCACGGGAGTGGGATGGACAGAGCAGAGCCCACCCCACACTCGTGTCCGCACTGGGTCTGGGTGACCTGGGCGCTGTGGACGAGGCGCCTGACCTCTGGAGGTCAGGGACCCGGCCCAGGTCTGCAGCCGGTCCAAGGACGGGCCTCACCACAGGCCTCCTGGCGCAGAAAGCCCCCCTCCGCCGGGCAGGCCGCGGGCTGGGTGCACACGAGGCGGGAGCCAGGAGGGCGGGGAGGTTCCCAGGCTCACCATGGACAGGTAGCACAAGTGCTGGCAGATCTGACACCGCCTCTCCGAGGTCTCCAGCTGCAGCCATTTTCGAGGCTTTTTCTTCCCATCCGCCACGGCGCTGCTGCTGTCGTGGCTGCCGTAGCGGGCAGAGGAGTGGAGGCCAGCCTCAAATAGCTGCCTCCGCTGCCGCAGCTCCGTATCCCTGTCCAGACACAACAGAAGCGCCGGGGCGTAAGGAGGCTAGGTGGGGGCCTGGCTGGTCTCCTCGCCACCAGAGGAAACACGCGGCACGCACCCCAGCCGGCTGCCCCCCAATCTGAGTGCGCCCTCCTGTCAGGGGAGTGCCGGTGACACGTACACGCTCGGGAATTCCCAAGACCCGTGTTCTTTAGTCAAAAGGTCAGACAACCGCCCCCCGGCTTCCAAAGCTATTCTGATAACTGGGCTCTGCCTACAGTAAACACAGGCGAGACACAGCAGGGCGCGTGGGTAACCCCTCAGAGCTACGGAAGGGGTGCCCTGCCCTTCATTCCGAGCCAAGAATGGATGGAACAAACTATTTGCCGGTATCGTCATCAAAGGCTCGACAGACACGAGTGGAAATCCGTGTGCTGTCCTTCAGCACTACCGGGTCTCTCCCCTGGAAGGGAGAGAGGACGAGGCTACATGGTGGGAAAAGAGAAGAGGGTTACACAGGAAGCCAAGCAAACAGTCACACGCCTCCGCGATCTCTGCCCTGATCTGCTTCACCCTGGGGAGAGCTCCTTCGATGGCTGCGGGATGAAAGCCGGGGAAGGGCCTCGGACTCAGGGGTCAGCTGGCCACATGCAGGCGCCAGGTGTGCGGCAGGTAGCAGATGGGAGTTGCTCAGCGGTGTCTCAGACACACGGCACCAGCGGGTTGGCAAGAAAACCTAGTAGGGGGGGCCTCTCCATAACCGCGCCAACCTCTGGAAATGAGGCCTCGGCCGCCATGTCCTCCCTGGCAACGTGCTGCTAGGATCAGAGCCCACCTCCCAGTTATTCCCACAGAGGACAGTAGCCTTTTGCATCAGCGCATCAGGAAATTCTGACTCCAAACATCAAACACGAAAACAGAAGGGAAAATTTAAATAAAAAAAATAAAACCATACCCAGAAAGTCTTCGCCCATCTGGCCAAGCACCAGGTGGACCCTGCCATCCTGAGTGCACGCACCCCCACACCCCGCTGAGCCCCAGAAGGGCCTGGCACCCCAGCCTCGGTCCTGGGGTTTTCGGAAGCCAAGGACTGTGTTACCTGAGCTCATCCAGAAGGGCCGAGATGGTACTGAGAGTGGGGCCGTTCTCCTTTTTCGCTTCCGCTTGTGCAATCTGGTAGAGTAACTTCTCCATGGAAAATGGCTTAGCTATATGGCGACGCTTCATTTCCTGAAAGAGGCAGCCACATCCCTTTAGGGTACATTTTCATTACTAGGCAGCTGTCAAGGTCTTTCTTTATTGGGCAGGGGATGCTATCAGAATTTTCAAATTTTAAGTTTCATTTGGTTTCAAAGCAATTGAACATCACACAGTGATCTTGTGAGAGAAGGCACCAGACAACAGAAGCATTGCTGTATGCTGCCAGCCACAGGGCAGGAGTCACAACTTGCAAAGGGGTGGAGACTTTCTGCCCATTGTAGGTGTTTACCTTAAACACCTTCAGCACAGGCCTCGCCATGTTACAGCGGGCCCAGCAATGGGACTCGAAATCGTCCCTGACACAAATAAACCGCTAACAATGCTCCTTCCCTAGAAACTCCTCTTGGTCGCCTCTTAGAGGTGTCAGAAGCACTTTCTGAAATTGACCATATCTGAAAACAGAGAGGAAGGCACAGGGACGTGTGCGCGTGTGCGTCCACGCCACGGGCGGTGCCGGAGCTTGTCTGCCTACCTTGGCCGTCTCGAAGCCCATACTTGTCCACTGGGTGGTGGCAAAGTGCACGGTCTCCGAGACGCTGTAGCCGCAGCACACTTTGGACACAAAGGATCCTGGGAAGCAGACGACGAACTGGCCGCTCTGCTGCACGGTCCTGTGCACCTTGATCCCCTCTCTGCACAGCACCTCTGGGGAGATCTGCGGAGATAGGCCAGGGGTGAGATCCACTCCCTGATGCTGCACTCTCGGCCACTCTCCTGACAGCTGTCGGGCCCCCACTGCTCCTGGGGCCCCTTCTGTGAAAGCCCTGAGAACCAGCCTCCCTCCCAGCAGCTGTGTGAATATGCACACCTGCCCTCCAGGTGGGCCATGAGGACTTAAAGAAGGTGGTGCCATGAGAAGACAGGTTAGGTTTGGTTTTGAAGGTTGTTTTTCCTTTAAAAACAAAGATACCTAAAATAACAAGAAGGAGTATCTAAACTGATAATCGGCCCATGTGAGAAGCGTCACCCAGCTGTATGACAGCCCTTCACACTACACTGGAACCCTCCTTGTCCCCATCCAGCACTGCCAGGGGTAGAAATGCGATCAATTCCCACTGCTGGCCTGTGTCCAGAGTCAGGCAGAGCCACAGGGTACAGGCGGGGGGCCTTTGGACGTGCACCCACAGAGGGGCTGGGCTGCAGGTCAGCTTCTCTGAGCCAGGTTGGAGGGCCCAGCAGAGACATAAGACCCAGGTAGGGGTGAGCAGTGGCCAGAGAAGCCGTGAGCTCAAGTGTCAGAACACATCTCAGGGCTAAAAAGACTCCCAGGAACTCGAAAGCCCTGACTTGCTGGAAATGGGCTCAGAAGAATTTGTGTTCACCTTTGTAAGGTCAAGCATTTCTGATCCACGGCCCCGTCACCCAGGTGCCCAGTTGGTGGGAACGGCAGCACCAACAGACCCCAGAGCACCCACCCAAGCTCAGGACCCAGCCTCCCCACGGATCCCAGTCTTCATGCATGAATGAAGCAAGCCCTGAAACAAATTCAAAGGCCACATGTGCAAGAGCCCGACATCCTATGCAATCTGAGGAAAACACTGGTTCAGTTTGGTTTCCATAAAAGAGGGATGAATCCCTTGAGGATTTTGCATTGTGCTCTCTGCCTCTGAAAGGCCCGGCAGCCAAGAGGGTGACTGAGTAACACAGCTCTGCGCACCCCCCCCACCCCCGTGCCTGCGTCCCGGGCCCCGGCGCCACGCGGGAGCTGTACCATGACGTTGCTCTCCAGCATCTGCAGCCCTGGGGTTCCGTTGGCTTGCAGCAGCGTGTGGACCACGTCCTCGAGCTTGTGCTCCTCCTCAGCAGGAATGCAATACCTGGGTTGCGAGGAAACAAGGCGGAAGCAGGTCTGATAAGGACTCTGCCTGGAACACGTGCTGGGCCCATCCTTCATCCTCCCTCAGAAAGGAGCAAACACGGGCCCGGAGAGCGGCTGTGGGTGCAGGAGAGGCGACATTGAAACGCAGGAGAGGGACCCGGTCCTGGGATCGACGAGGTGCCCTGGCTGGGCGACAGCGCCATGTTCCCAGGGCCGCGCCCACCCCCCTCCCAGGGCAGCGCGGCTGCTACCACCCAACAGCCAAACCGCACACTCGTTTTTATGCAGATCTGACCTATGCTGAGCCAAAAAGCCTTCAAACCAAAACCAGATGTTTAAACCCCCGATAAATCAGATCCAGACACATCTGCAGACTCAATTAGCCTCTCCTGAGTGCTCCAAAGGTGCGTCTTCTCACTGGGCTGGCATTTGACACTTTCTGTAACAGGAGGCACCGCAGCACTACGCCGTCCCCTCGGCCCGCCAGCCCGGGCCACCTCGGGAGGGCCTAGCCCAGATCTGCCTCCCTTGTCCCACAGAGATGAGAATTGGTGAGACGGGGAAAAGCAAGAGAACCCCTCAACTCTCCAAATACGGAGCAAGTCGGGAAAGGAGTCCAGACTGCCCACACACTGCCCCGTGGCCAGCACTCAGGCTCACACTGAGGCGGCTGTAACATGGGAGCACGGCACACCCAAGGGACCCAGGCTCTGCTCCACCGAGGCAGCTGCGTGTGCCAGAAGCCAACCAGCCCGTTATCAGCTGGCAAAACACACAGGACAACCAACGCACCCAGGCCTGCATCAGGCAAACTGAGTGACCGAGGGGGGCCATGAAGCGAGCGAAGCCCAGGACAGCGCAGGCCCCTCTGGCTGGAGCTGAGGAGCCAACGGGGAAGACGGGAGGGGGAAGAGGCTCAGGAGGTAGGCAGACCTTAACCGGCAGAAGAATCTGGAAGCCCTCACTGTAATCACGGGGAATGGAGGGATTATCACTGGTGGCCCCAGAGGACACACTTGCCACCTACGACATGTGAGATCCTGGTGCCAGGCTGTCAGCGTGCACATGGCAGGTGCTGAGGTCCCCTCAAGGCCCTCCTTTCTGCCTCTCTGCCCAGGGTGTCAACAGGCTGCAGCGGGACATATGCAGAGTGGACTCGTGGGCAAGGGGACCTCAGAGCACAACCCGCCCTCCACTCGCAGTGTGCGTCCTGACAGCACCTCAGGCTGCCAGAACACATGAAGCCGTGACGACCAGTGACAATAAGAGCGGGCCAGTAGCTCTGGTGGGGGTTGCGCCGCTGCACCTCTCCAGTCACGCGCCACAGCCCGCCCCGCCCTGCGGCCAGTGCCAAACTTGCCCCGCCCGAGCAGCCCAGCGGGCAGGCTGGGCCGCCTCGCTCAGCTGAGCTAAGGTGTCTGTGATGAAACCCTCCGCTCCGAGGCCAAACTCTGGTTTCAGCAGCCGCACTGAAGTGGTTCTTTTACTGCTTATGTTATTGCAATGCCAACATATGCTGTTACTGATTTGTGATTTAAATCCAGGGTTTCTAACCTAAATCACATGTTTTAAGAAAAACCGCAACCATGATGTTCTCTGATCACATCCCAGCCTCCTCTTTATTACCCATCAGTGAGAGGCAGGGATTAGTCCTCGGAAAGCCAGACGCCCATCCATTTCTCTGCCGCTAACCCAACCGTTATTTCACCTCATCACCCCGCTGGCCGTGCGTCCTGTCACACCACTTTCAGATGAAAAAAACCAAGGCTCTAGGGGTTTTCAGGTGTCCTGGCTCAGGTCACAGGCCAGGTGGGACGCCATAAACCCCAGACCAGGCCCGGCACTGCCCACAAAAGCTTCTCCACAGGGAACAGCACGGAGGGCACAGTGGCTCCTGGCAGGGGAGACCGCACTCTCTCTCCATGACATCCAAGCAGCCACTAGTGCCCTGAATGAGAGCCATCTAGCTGTCCTCCCCCAGCCGTGCGGTCTGCATGCACTCGGCCCTGTCCCTCTAGGCCTCCACAGCCGGCAGCCACTCCCAGGGCGCTGAAGGCCACCTCCCCACCCCCGCACACGGGCCCCCATCAGTCCTGCAGGTCCTGCCCGCTCCCGCACCAGCCACCACTCGCGTGATGTGGCCAGAAAGGAGGGGCGTCGTAACGAGGAGACGGCTGCAGACCCGGGCTCCTGGGAGCGAGAACGTTAGTTCTAAGACTTTGTTTATTTTAATAAAGAACGCCTAATCTCCCCATTAGGACAATAAACACAGTTAGTGTGGGATGAATGTGATGCCGGTAGACTGTCAGACGACAAGACATCTGATTATTTGCAGTAATTTCCCATCTGCCACTGTAAACAAGGGAAGTGAAGAGCCAGCCACAGATCAGGATTGGGTGGAGCTGACGGTTACGCTCACAGGTGGGCACCGAGGTGAAAGCTTTCCACGGAGCAAACGTATGCAGGGGAAACAGCAGGAACTGCGGTTCCCAGAAAACCTCCTCTCCCCATAGCTGGGGCAGGGGTTGGGACTACTGCCGTAGAGAAGCCGAAAATGACCACTCACACGAGGCCAGAGAGAGAACGGTTTACACAGGGTTAGGAGACTGATGACATGGTCACCATCGGTCAACTTTTGGTGACACTCTTAATGTTAACTATCCCTAACATGAAACAAACTCTTAGAAACAACAACCAAAAATAATACCCAAGGGCCGGCTGAGTGGCTCAGTTGGTTAAGAGCTCGCTCAAGAGTTTGAGCTCTGAGCAACAGTGGTTCGAGTCAGCCCGAGCTGAGCAGCCGTGAGCTGCCAACAGGTGGCGGGATGGCTCAGCTTAAAAACAAACAAACAAACAAACAAACAAACAAAATAATACCCAGAAGGAAAATCAAATATAAGCGGGCAACTGACAAAAGGAACTTAAGTGGCCTATGAGCACATGAAAAGATGCTCATCATCAGAGCAAACTAAAATACTCTGCCATCTCAAACCCCTCTAATGGAGGTGGGGAATCCTAGGCTGAGAAACTGTGATAGGGAACAGGGGACAGGCTCAGAAAAGCGAGCTCTTGAAGGCCGTCGGCCACCAGCCAGTAGGAGCTGCTGTGAGGGCCCCCCGCCCCCCCAGTCCCCACCCCGCATCGCCCAGGGGCCAGGTACTCACCAGATGCAGTCAGCACCAGTGTGTAAGTAGTCAATGTAGGGAAGGTGGTTTTGGTCTCGAGACCAGCATGAGGTAGAAAAGACCATGCCAATATTTAGCCAGGGGATTGTCACTCCTGTAACACAAAGGGACAAAATGGCATTCTGAAGGACGGCAGCCCTGTCTCAGGGTGACAGCCATTAGACATCGCTTTCCTCTCCCCACATGAGAAAGGAAGAAATGGGACTCAAAACCAGACAGACAACGCCCAGCGAGAAGAAGGCCCCGGCTCGTTCTGCTTGCTACACAGAAGCGAAGCCAAGACGAGCGCCGTTACAAACTAGTAAAGGAGCATCTTCGTTCATAAGCTGGGGAGCGAGATGCCCCATGGAACGTGACCATGACGACTGTTGGCAAGTCGCCCACCAGCAGCCAGGGGCTGTTCAGCAGCCCGTTGAGCCTCACGGCTGAGAACAGGTGCCACACCTGAGCTCCTGCTGTGCCGAAGGCAGGAAGCACAGAGCCCCTCAGTCACTGCCGCCCGCAGGGTGTGGAGGGTCCCAGGCCTTCTCCAGGGGGCACAGCCATCAGTGACCACCAGCCCCAGGACACCTGGCTTTCCTGAACATCTGTGTAGAATCTATCACCTAGGAGCCTGAAGCAGCCCTAAGGAGTCAGAGCTTTAGCTCTGAAAATACCTAGTTCAAGATGAAAAGTTGGCCACTAGGCGCCTGCCCAGCTTCTAGATGCTAACTTGCTCCACCTTTCCACGTTTTTACGGACTTCAATTATGATCCTATTTCTCTCTTTTCTACAAAATCAGTGTTTTCAATCTATACATATACTCTACACCGTAATCCCCGCCCCTTTCCAGTTGTGCTTAGGAGTTCCCTGTGCTGACACTCTTCAAGCTGCTGAGGAGAGGGCCCCATAACCCTGGAGGCAGCGGCCGCGTCACTTACCAGGCACAGCACCGAGGTGACGCAGGATGGACCCTGTGTTATTGGGGAGGACGGTGAGGTTCCATCCATGCCTGCAGAAGAAAGCGGAGGGACGTCACAGACTGGCAGGGGGGGGCGCCATCTAGTCCCCAGCACATGGACAAGAGAACCCCACTTTACCTTGAAAATGGTTCGGATTTCCCCACTGGGAATCCGCTGCCGTGAGTGTTGGTGTCCACCTTGCCGCAGTGCACTGCCACGTGGCAGTCCTTCTCTTCCACTAGCCTCCAGTACTCTTGCTGTGGGACGGAGGACAGGGACAGTCAGCACCTCTGCTGTGCAGGAGCCACAGAGCACAGTTTAGCTTAACAGCACGGTGACACTAATGCATGATGAAGGAGCCCATCGCGGACCAGCCTCCCAGAGCGCAGAGTCGGAAGGTGGTGCTCGGATCACCTCTGCGGGCAGAGCCAACAGGGACTCCAACACACACCTGCACACCGTGGCCATGGCAGCGTTCTGCACCACAGCGGAAGTGTGAGAGCAGCCACGTCCACGGACGGACCAGTGGATCGGCAAAGGTGGGGTATCCACAATGGAACAGTGTTCGGCCTTCAAAGGAAGGAGATTATCCGACACACGCTGCACCATGGATGAACCTTGAGGACATTATGCTAAGTGAAATAAGGCAGACACAAAAGGACAAATACTGCGTGATTCCACTTATGGGGTACCTAGAGCAGTTAGCTTCACAGGCACTGAAAGCAGGATGGGCTGCCAGGGGCTGGGGCAAGGGGGAAATGGGGAGTTATTACAAAATGGGTTGAGAGTTTCAGTTTTGCAAGATGAACAGCATTTCGGAGATGGATGATGGTGACGGCTGCACAACAATATAAATGTACGTATACACTGAACTATACACTTAAAAACAGTTAAGATGGTAGGTACATTTTAAGGTTATGTATATTCTATCACAATAAAAAAAAAAGATTTATATGAGGGGGGGACAATGCTAAGGAGGCTGAAGACATCCCACTACCATCCTTAGATTGTAATGAGCAGCCTCCAGGTGCAGCGTAGCCACAGACACGCACCTCACACCCCCCAGCAGCCAGCCGCCCCACTCCTCTCAGGGCGGGCAGCACGGGCCGCGTGAGGATCCTGGGCAGGAAAGACCACGTACAGCCAGGCTGTAACCCCCCAGCCAGCTGCATCAGGTGGAGGGAGGTGGCTACACTGACTGGTTTAGAAAGCTTTCCAGGTGACCTGACGAGTCCCATCTAAACAGGTACGGGGCGGTGAGGAGAAGTGTGCGCTGACAGGTGAGCAGACGTGCCTGGCTTATGTGAGGCGACTGCCCCCCACTCAGGTACTTTTCCACTTTGTTTCCAATGATCATTCCAGAAGCACAGCAACACCTTCCCTAATCTTGGCAACGCCCATTTGGCTGGAAACACCTTTAGAGGCGGAAGCCTAACCAACAGCCACTCGGCGCCGCAAAAGGTCCGTCAGCTCACGCCAGTGCTGCCCGCGATGCCACCACAGGCGTCCACCGCTGTGCAGTGTCTACAGAGCGGGACCCCTGGGGGTGTCCAAAGGCCCTAAGCCCAGAATAAACTTGGCATCATCACATGCCTGGATTCCTGAAACAGATTTCTGTCAATGTCAGGAACGAAGAGGCAACGGTCTGGTTGCAGGGACTGGTCACAGCCCCGGCCTGCCACCCACGTATGAGACTGACAGCAACCGCGGGTAGATTAATAAAGACGTGGGGGGCGGAGAGGGACCCACTGCTGAGTGGGGGCCACTCCTGTTGCTGAGCCCTGGCCAAGAGGAAGGCCCCGCCCTTCTCTGAGGGACCCAAGAAGCCAGACAGCCTCAGACGGAAAGCTTGGATTTTAGCAAACCTTCCCTGTGTGTTTAGACATTCTGTAATTGCTAAAGCAAATGCTGGACTTTCAAATAGGATGAATTCCCGAGTAGGAAACTGAAATAAGCCGCGCTCTCCTCGTGCTAGGGGCAGTAATAAGCCCTGCGCCTTCAGGGACGCCCCCCCCCCCAAGGACTGTGCTGTGCAACAGAGGCCTCTCTGTTCAGTCACATTCCTTTCTCCTGACGTCTCCACCACAAACATGAGTGCTCCAGAAGTGACTGTGATGGCCACACGCGTCCCAGAACCAGGGCCGGGTGACACTGTGGTTGATGGAACGAGGCTCCAGCAGGGCCACGCTGAGGGAGGGGCAGGGCTCAGGCCATGTGGGGTGCTCGACGGCCGCACCAGGGCACAGAGCTGGCCGGGGCACCCTACACTCACAGCAGAGAACTAGGGCCTCAAGGGGGTGGCGACAGTACTGAGAGGAAACACGGGAAACCGGGCCAGAGCATCAGGGAGGGACCTCCTGCGCGCCTGATGCTGGCTGTCGGGTGTGGCACCGTGTGGCATCCACGCAGGGCAGCCAGATGTCCTGGTTTGGCTGGGACTGTCCTGCAGGTCCCAGTCCCAGGTAACCCAGCCAGAGCAGGATGGCTGGCCCCCTAGTGGCTACCCTGGGTTTTATGCAGAGGAGGTGGCATTTGTCACTGGAACACACAAGCCATGGTCTGAAGCCTGTTACACATCAGAAGACAAGGCTGCGGTCCACATGCCCAGCCCCCCGCCAGCAGCTGCCCTTCCCCAGCCGTAGGGGTTTGGGTTCGTTCTCTGACAGGGACCAAGTGCTGCTGAGGACCCAGCGATGGCAGCATCTGGAAGTTCACACCAGCTCGGCTGGGCCCCGGCCAAGGGCGGGGTGAAGGGCAGATCTGGTCTCTGTCCTGCAGCGCCTCACACAAAACTCCCCTAATGGGCCCGGGCACAGAGGTGCTCACTATCTGCCCAGCCTCACACTAACTCAAAGAGCAGACTTGGCAGGCGCACAGAAAGGGCAATCTGCCAATCCCACTAAATAAAAAACAGGGGAGGAGGAAAAGCACAACTATGGTTTCAAGGGATTCCAAACATTCTCCTACATAACAGGCACACAGAGGACGGGGCGAAGCAGCCAGCTGGGGGGATGCCCGGAGCGCACCCCTGGCCTCCGCGTCGCAGCCTCTGCTGTGGGGTAAGTCAGGGACAAGCTGAGGAGGCTGAACTCTCTTCGTTAGGCCTTTTTTTTTTTTTTTTGGACTCTGAACAAGTTTAATTAAATGGAGTGAAAACGTCGGGCTGCCCCCAGTCCAAAGACGACAAGTCAACCACTCAAGTCCCCTCAAGCCATCAGGCCCCAGGAGGGACCCAACACGCAGGGGCGGGAGGGCGCAGCTCACTCACCTCAATCTCGGCTGGTGCGGGCTCCTTGCTGAAGCACATGTTCATGATGTTTCTTGCTGTTCGATAGAAAGTTGTTAAAGAAACAGACCGTCCCTGGAAAGGAAACAAAACCAGGAGAGTCCAGCTTTAACAACAACGCTGAGACCGAACCGCACGTCAGGCCACCCCGACACGGGCGCCTCCCTGCAGCCGTGGGCCCGTTTGTGTCCTGGGTTAAATGCAAGCAGGGAAGGCAGGGCAACGTTCTCTAAGAAGGCTCCTCAGGGCCAGCAAAAGGACATGAAGGCACAGCGCCATCCCAGCAGTGGGGTGAACAGCCCCGGCATCTGGGGAAACGGGCTCCGTGCTGGGGGGACCACAGCTGGAGCACACGGGGAGCTGGAGTACACCTCCAGGGTGCGCTGTTGAGAAGGCCGCTTTCACTTTTTGGAGAAATGGGTCCAGTGTGGAAAGGGAGGCAGGATTCCTCCGTTTACCCACGTGAGGAGGAAGGTGAAGGTTGTGGGGGCACCGACAGCATGGAGACTGGGACTGGCTGGACCAGGACCAGGATCCAGGAGCGAAGCCTGGAGGATCACGGGGGGCGGAAACAGGGTGACTTCTACTCCCCAAGGGTCCTCATTACTGAAAACCGGCCTGACGGGCAACCTCACCCCGTGGACCCGAGGGGACAGAAGGAACCTGGTCGCTCTTGCCACAGAAGCCACTTGCTGTCCCCCCCTTGCGCCTCCCCGGAGGGCACGTGGTGCCTTCAGATGCCAGGCATCCTGCCCTCGGTTGCCCCTTCCTGGTAACATTCAAAGTGATCTGCTCCCTTATCCATCAGCTTACTCTTCTGGTTTGGGAACCCCAGGTAAGATCCTGTTTTTAACCTATCCTGCAGAATATGTTTTATTTTGAGAGATGAACTTGTAAGATTCATTACTTTCACTCTTTTTTGACCAGGCACCTCTACCACTGAGCTGCAGAAATATGTATCAAGCACCTCCTGTGTATTAGGCCTAGCTGAAGGGGCTGCAGATAGAGCAGTGCTCAAACCAACACTCTCTCGGGCCTTGGGGGGGCTTCCATTCTGCCTCAGGGCACAGCCTTTAGACAAGTAAGAGCTGTGAGGAGGCGCTGATGCACTGAGCCAGGAGCAGGGTGACACGAGTGGTCGGGAAGGTGGCTGTCACCTGAGGTACTCAGGGAAGGTTTCCCTAATGAGATGACACTGGAACAGCCCCATAGAAAGGACCAGCTCTACAGTATGTGGTCTGTTCTTGCTTTTGGAAGGACAGAGCAGTTAGTGTGAAGACTTTGGTACTGGCTTCTCAGCTTTGTAAGTGACTCCATGGGGTTCTAACTCCACTCCAAACTTCTGACATTCTGTTCATTACAAAATAAAACCCGAAGTACTAGGAGGGACCCGATTTTGCACAAAGGCAGACAGCCCATAATTTGAGAAGATGACACCCAGCACCCCACAGTCAGTGGACCCTGCATGCTGAGGGGCCCCGAGAACCGTGGGCTTGGTCTCAGGGCACACAGCTGCCACTGACATCACTGTGGTCATCAGACTGACAGATTTTCACGATAAAAATCTAAAAATACCCTTTACAAAGCGTGTTTTCAAAAAAATTCTTGCTTGGATCCAACTCTCATAAAATTGGCCTTCTTAAATTAAAAAGTAACAAAAAAGAAGAAAATATCTCATTTCATGAGTTGGCTATTCAGAGTCACAGGATTTAACGAGTGGTTTCAACAGAGGAGGGCTTCTTAGGCGAACATGCAGGCAACACCTCAAAGTACTCCTGAGTTTATAGTCCACGGGCCACCTTCTCCCTTTTCATAAAATATTTAAAATGTGAAACAGAAGGCGGCCATCAGCAGTCTGTAAGCAGCCATTTCCCGCCCCCACTGCCTCTGCAAGGCATCGTGGGAAGATGACAGTGGGGACACTGAACCCTCTCTGGGTTTAATAATAGAAGCAGTTCTAGGCAGGCAGGATACCTCTTTCCAGAAAGGAGTGCAGGGCTAACGCCTAGCAGAAAAATAAGAAGTGTGGCGGAGGGCAGCCAGGGGTGTGCCTTCTGGGAATGGACTCAGAAAGGGCAGAGGAAACAACTGAAACGATGGATCAGGCATCAAAAGTCCACATCAACTGAACCAGGCAGGCACAGGCCAGGCCTGCCTCCCGGCGCTGGGGGAGCCTGAGGAGTGTGGCTGGGGCGCACGGCGATAGCCCACAGCAGGCTTTCAGTGTAGCAGAATCCCATCAGCCCCGCGCAACTGCCAGGCTCACTGGGATGCGAGCATGGCCGTGGGGCGTGGGCCGCCAGGACCCCACCGCACAACAATTCCCTCCTGGTAAACCCAGAACGGGGCTCCCGGGCGCCAGCCCATATGCCCCTCAAAGCCCGGGCAATCTAGCTCTGCCCAGATGTCCCGGCCACCCTGACAGGCAGGGGAGGGAACTGGCCTCAGGCCTGGTTTTAGAACTGGCCGAACAGGAGGCCACGTGCAGTCTCAGCTGCTGAACTGAGGCAGGGGTCTGCCTCGTGGAGGGTCCCCGAGACTCTGCCTCGCTTCTCAGAGGAACGCGTGTTTGCAGGATGGCTGGTGCTGCAACGAGAGTGGCAGAACTGGGGAAACACGCTGCGCATTTCATTCTGCCAGGCTCTGCCCACCTCCTCCCGCCGTGGAGTTTTCATGAGATGCGTAGCGCTAGCTCTATCGGGGCCTCTCTCCGTGGAAAGGACTTGGCCTGGTGGGGTGGGGCCGGGCGGGGCGGGGGCCATGCAAAAAATACATAAGGCAGCAAAGAAAACCAGCTCTCCAGCCCACAGAGGGTCTGGTCCTTCTGTGTCTGAGAACCCCCAGCCCTGACTGGGCTGCTCCCATCCTCCAAGCTAAAAGAGGGGTGCCCAGAGGGGCGGGGCAGAAACTGCATAATCACTGTAGGTACTGCGCCCCTGGCACTCGGGCACACACTCAGCCACGCTCACAGCTCACAGGGGAAGTCAGGACCAGCCGCAGGCGGCCAGACACCTGAGGCCTGTGTCCTGACCACCTAGCCTCCCCGCAGACTGCAGACTTTTCTCTGTATTACAAACATTTCCCAGAGAAAGCGGTCTGGGGGCTTCAGGACCCCCCGAGCCCAGCGTGGCAGCCAGCCCCTCCCCGGCGCCAGGCCCCCGGAGGGGTCTTACCTTATATATACACTTGTGGAAGTCACTGAGGACGCCTCTGTCCTCGTCTTCCTCTTTCACCACTTCCTTTTCCTGAGCAAAGAGCCGCCGCCGGCCCGTCTTGAGCTGGGCCTGGCCCACCTCCTTGAGCTTGCTTCGGAAGCCGTTCCGGTGGGCCACGCCACTGATGAGCCCGTTCTTGGGCTCGAAGCGGGGCAGGGGGTGGAACTTGTTGTAGTCGTGCTCCGTGTGGCCCTCCAGGGGCCCCTTCCGCTTCTCCAGGATCTCCTTCTCCATCAGCACCTCCTTCTCCAGCCGCCGGTGCTCCTCTGGGGACAGGGAGTCATAGGACAGCAAGTACTGGCAGTAGGCCTCCTGAAGCTTGGCCAGCCGGTCCTGGGCAGTTTTGGGGATGCGCAGCATGTCTGCGAGTTTGTTCCATTTTTTGAGGTCAGTCACTTGCTGCATGCCGCCCATCTCGTTAATCAGCCGGAAAAAGCAGGCCAGGTCGAGCTCGCAGCCTCCTGGGACGGTGAGGGGGAGAAAACACAGGGACCGTGGGTGAAAATGGCCATGAACAAGATCTCCTTCGTTCAACTGACAGTCCGTGGATGCCCGTATGTGCCAGGACACTGCCGGGCTCTGGGGTCAGAGCAGCACGCAATTATTTCTGGCCCTCGGGGAGCTCAGTCTATGGAAACGGACGTTAAGGCAACCTGGGGCACTGCAGGGATAAATAAAGCTAACTGAGGCTGGAGAACAATGGGGGCTACTGCCTTAGGTGGGAGAGTCAGGGAAGGAGGGGACACCTAAGCGGAGGCCTGAACGGGAAAGCTGGTTGTGCAGATCCGTGGGGAGGAACATCCCAGTTTCCCCTCCAACAGGCAGCAAGCACCGGTACACGTCCTTCTATTAATAACAACCAGGAGGCAGATAGGATGAGACAAGGAGCAGGGGCCCGTCCCTGGCGAGGGCAGGGCAGGGATGGGGTTGTGCCATGCGGCTGCACCCATGTCCCAGCGTCGCCTGAACGGCTGTGATGTCAGGAACTGTACACGTGCAGCATGTGTTGTCAGTCCCAATTCCCCTCCTAACACCCCCCAACACACGTGTGCCCCCGAGGTAGCTTATTTTCAATCCCACTGGATTTCCAGGGTGACAGGCAATATTCACGGGAAGGCACCCGGCAATCTGTCTGCCCTTCAAACCCTCCCATCGCCCATCACAGAGGAGCTACTTGTCTCAGAAGGGTGCAGAGGCTAGTTTTCACTAATCAAGTTACAGAACTGTATGAATGCACGTCCACTCAAATATGTTAGAATGCCCGCACAGCGACTAGCTAGATGGGACCTGGACAAGCAGCCTCCCTCTGGCCAATAAAGTGGGGGAAATCTTCCAGAATAACCACCCACTGGCTGTCAGGAGGTAAAAGCACAAGAGAATGTTAGGTGAGCACAGTAGAAAGTAAGAAAGTTTTAGGACTTTGGAGGGTTAGGGATAGATTTAGGAAAAGCAGCAGGACTCCTGCTGGACTCTGACCGAGGCCTGAGAACAGCATCGTGGCAGCACCAGATGTGAGCCTGGACCACTCCGGGCAGACTGCAAGTAACACCGGGGGAGGGTGCACAGCAGCCTGAATGCCCTTTACTTTGCTTGGCGGGACACTGGATTTGGTTGTTTGTGGACAATGGAGCAACCTCAGTGAAGAGACTCGCCCCAACCTCAGCCAGATTCTGGGCCTTATTCTGGTCTGTCTCAGACCTCCTAGCTGGCAGCACCCCACCGGGCTGGCAGAGGTGGAGAGTGAACAAGTTACCCCAATGTGCCCGGTGGTTCAGATCAGGTCTCACTAGAGGGGAGGCTGGCCATACTTTCGCATTTTTCTCTAAGCTCTTGCAAATCCATTATTTCATGGCCTCACCTGCCATATCAGCCCATTTACAAGGCCACCAGGCTGCTAACTGGCAAAGTACCTTCCTCACCCATGTCTGCACTGACCCTACTCTGCAGCACAGCAGCACCCCGAGGGGCTGGGGTGCTCATCTGTGTTTCGGCAGATTCTGGCTTCAAAACTACTAAGTCCCTTGTACTTCGAGATGGCTGAGCTCAGACCCATGGCCCGAGGCCTCTGTTGGTAACAGGGCAGGTCAGCTCCCTTTTCATGGACAGTGACAATGCTTTACGCTTCCAGACAATGGCAAAGAGCATGAGCACACACACCACACAGACGTGACTACTTGGCTTCTGCTGCGACAGAAGGAGTCATGGCTAAAGAAATCCTACTCTGAACCAAAGGTCACTGGCTGTCATCACGACATCACCTGAGTACCCCACCTGTCCCTAAAAGACCCACCGCCCCGCCCCCGCTAACCAGGGGAGAAGGGTGCGACTCGGGACATCTCACTAAAGCCAGGGGGACAGTGCTGTTCCGAGTCACCCAATGGCCTGAGTACACACAGGGCGCAGCCAACACCAAGCTCCCGAGATACTCTCGCAGGCTCAGACTACTGCTGCAGCCCCGTGTCACTGTCTATCACGTGCCATCCCTGACAGGGGACTACAAACCAAGAATTCTCTCAAATTAAATGATTCTCACTCAGGCATCAGCCCTGGCAGGCACCTGCTGAGAGGAATAATGAAACCTCCATCTTATTGCCAATGCTTGACACTTAAATGACTGTTAAAGATCTCCTTTCCTTCCAGCCTTTGAATAATCAGGACCTCCAAAATGGATGCAGGAGCGCAGCCCGTTTCTTTTCATGAATCTAGAGCTAACAGGGAAGTGAGTGACCTTCCTCAGCTGTCCCAAAGGAAACCCCACTCCACAGAACCCACTCATCCCTGACAGCGAGCTAATCCTAGAGGTGCTAGACCCAGGCGAGCAGCGGGCCCGGGAACTCCGGGGACCCGTGCAGGCTCTGCGGGGGGCCCCTGGTCTCAGGGCTGGGATGGACATTCACTACGAGTCAGCGAGGTAATAAGGGCCGCAGTCCCAGCCAGAGCTGTCCCTGTTCCCTGACCTGTGGGCTCCACGGGGCTGAGCTGGTCACTAAGGACACAGAAACTCATGTAAAAATGAGGATGAAGAAAGAGACAGAGGTCAGACAGAAGAAATGGGCTAAAGTCAGTGAGCGCTTGTGGGCTGAAACATGTCCCCCAAATATTCATATGTTGAATCCCAACCCCCAGTGCCTCAGAATGTGACCTTATTTGGAGATAGGGTCCTTAAAGAGGCAAGTGAAAATGCGGTGGGTCCCAACCCATATGCCTGGTGTCCTTATAACACAAGGAATACACTCGGGAACAGCCAAGTGAGGACACGGGGAGAGGATGGCCATCTACAAGCCGAGGAGAGAGGCTGCAGGAGAAACCATCCCTGCCGGCCTCCTTGATCTCGAACTTCCAGCCTCCAGAACTGTGAGACGATAACTTCCTGTCGTATGACACACACACACACACACACACACCAATTCTGTGATACTTGGTAAAGGCAGCCCAGCCAACAAAGTCACAGGGGCAGCACCCCCATCTCCCCGGACATTGCTCTGGCCCCGGCAAGGAGGCCCTGTGGTGCTGGGCAGCAGGGGACAGCCCAGCAGGGAAAGCACATATCTGGATGCCAGCCCTTCTCTGCACAAATGCCCAGGGCCTGCAGAAAAGGGCTTCAGCCTCCTTCTGAGCAGCGAATGAGCCCAGCCCGGAGACATACATCTGCCCGTGAAAGGGGAGAGAAGCTAGAACCCCACGACGTGGGCGCTTACCTATGAGCGGGAGCTCATCCATGGTGATGCCCTGAGATCTGAGGTGCTTCTTGATGCAGGCCAGCCGCTGCACGTTGGGGCCCCAGCGCCGGCCCAGCTTGTGGATGTGCTGGATCTGCGTGACGAACCGCATCTCGTCGTTGAGCTTGCACTCGGGCCGCCAGTCCGGAGGGGGGATGACCCTGCACATGCCGTACTTCTCCACCTGAGGGCGCACCGACTCGATGTAGACGAGTGGGTCGTGGAACTCCTTGGCCGAAGGCCTGAGCACGGGGATCTCGTCCATGGCCGCCCACCCGGCCCGGCCGGTCCCCTTCTCGGGCTTGGCCGCGGCCTCGTGCGGCTTGTGCAAGGGCTCCGATTGCGAGGTAGAACGATTTTCACAGGAGGCGCTGTCCGCCTTGCCGTGTGCTTGTCTGCCCGGCGTGCTCCTCCCGGCTGCGGCCCGCTTTGGCCGGTTCCTCTCCAAGCTCCGCTCGGGCACTTCCTTCTTCACGTGTCCGTTCAGCGGAGCCCTCTCCGCCGGGGTTGGGATAGGGGCCGGGGTCGGGTTCGGGGCCGGGGCCGGGGCCGGGGCCGGAGCCGGAGCCGGAGCCGGAGCCGGAGCCGGAGCAGGGGCCACCTTCCTGCCAGGGGCTTCGGCAGAGCTGGCCGCCCCTTTCATCTTCTTGGGGGGTGACTGTGGCTTTTCTGCCTGGTGTGCCTCTTCCAGTCTCCTCTTGGAATTCCGCAGCCCCTCCCGCAGCTGCCGCCCCCCCACCTCCTTAGTGCATGACTTTGGGTTCAACCTGCCACTGACCTTGAGGCCATTGACGGCGGGCCCGGTGGACTTGGACGCCCCCCCGAGGGATAGCACCTGTTTGCGGGTTTTTGCATTGCTACTTTCAGTTTTCCCTGAGATTGTGTGGTTGACAGCTGAGCTGGGCTTGTGGTGATTGGGTTTGGTTTCCTTGACCAGTTCTCTCTTGGCTTTGGTGTATGTGACAGTCCCCTTCGTCACCGTTGCAGTGTACTTCACAGTTTTGGACGGTGAAGGTCTGATTTCGCGCATCTTTTTGGCACTGGTTGCACTTGTACCCAGAGATGACATTCGAGTGACTCCATTTACCTTCGAAACCTGGGCAGCAGCGGGAGAAGCAGAGAGGGAGAAAAGCAGAATTAGTACTTGCCAAGAAGGCGACCTCCACACACTGGTAACTAAACAGAGAAAGGACGTGGGCTACCAGCAAAGGTCAACAAAATGCACAGTCGCGAACCAAACTCTCAGGCGCTCGGCGTCAGAGCCTCTGCACAACTCTCCGTCCATCCTTCTGCACAAAAACATGCAGCCTGACTGGGTGTCGCCCAGCATGGTTTCCTGGTTTTAATGTGCACGTTTGTCCCCACGGTTCCAGGAAATCGGATGTTTCACGAGGACCTCTCCACATGCCCGTCAATCACCTGTCACAGGTTAACAACATTTATAACAGCAAGATCCCACCCAGTGGGGGAACATGGGGATGTATACAGTTGACCCTTGAATAACACAGGAGTTAGGGGTGCTGAACCCCCACAAAAAATACTGTTTTCAATCAATGGTTGGTTGAATCCCTAGATGCAAATCTGGGAATACAGCGGGCCAACTGCATGTTTATTGGGGGGAAAGCCACATATAAGTAGACACGCGCAGTCCAAGCCCATGTTGTTCAAGGGTCAGTTATACATGTGTATACACACATATACATACACACACACACACCCTGTTCTAAGAAAAGACGTGTGCTATTCTCTGTGCATTCCCCATAACAGCATGATCTGCTCACAGAATTTTAAAATCTACGTGCTAAAAAAAGAATGAACGCAACAAAAGTACTATGGAAGGAAAAGAACAGCAGCACTCATGTGTTCAGCTCCGATGCAAGTTACAGGCCAAGCCTGGGGGTGTGGCTGCCAGCCAGCCGACAGCACTGTTGAGGCCGGGCCCCCTGTGGTGCCTTGCTGGGGGTCCGGTGGGTGCACCTAACCGTTAGTACAGCACAGCCCGCCCAACCCTCTCCTGCACAGGGGGGTCCCTCTTTCCCCACCTCAACAAGCTTTCACATTCAGTTCCACGGGAACTGGGTAAACAAGCAGACTCTGCAAGGGCTGCCTCACAGCTCGAAGAGAAGCCAGAGTGACACGGGGGGACACCAGAAATGCATTAATGTCCACAGAAGGATGTAGGGCCCACCCCAGGAGCTGCTTCTGGGCTGGCTGGTTTGGGGGAGGGGGGCAGGGGGAGGACACTGCATCCCAACTCTGTCCCTCAGTGGCCTCTGACAAGCCATTTTACATCTTGGGCATCAAGCGCTCATCTGCAACATGAGGTGAAAAAAGAACCCAGAGTTACGTACACACTGTTACTTCCCAAAGAGGCAAATTAAAAATTAGTTACTGGGAAACACAGGGCAGAAACAACAGCCCTCTTTTCTTACCAAAAAACCCCGAGAAGAAGGTGACAGGGTAGAGGGAGCCTGCACTCCTGACCCAGGAGGGCTGACCAGCCGTGGTCATGCAAAAGCCCCTCCCTCGCTCCCTCCTCGTGCCAGCTGAGACCTAAAGCAGTCTGCTGGCCGCCCAGGGCCACCAGGGGCTGTGCAGCTGCCTAGTCAGGAGGAGTCAGGTTCCCAGAAGACGCGCCCTCTGCACTACGCGCAGGCCTCACCCAGGATGCAGTCTGCTTCCGTGGGGGACAAACACAGAAGCAAAAATCAAACTCTCCCGCAGGCATCAAACCAGTGGTCCTCAGAGGCCCCAGGGGGGGCTTGTTAGAGCAACTCACTGGGCCCCATCCCCAGGTTCCTATCCGGTAGGTCTGGGATGGACTTGAGAACCTGCATGTGTAATGAGGCCCAGGGTGACACTGAAGCTGATCTGGGGAAGGTACCTTTGAGAACCACTGAAGCAAACTATCAGTAGAAGGCTCTGAAAACAGGAAAAGGAAAGAAGCCACTGAGACCCGTATTTATTTATACACCACCAATTACACACGGTCCAATCAAAGCCACAAATTCTTGGTATGAGATTGTTCCATGAGCCAACATGGCGTTTGGTGAACCAGGTTTCCAGTGAGCAGCCTCGACTTCTAGACTCAGGGAGGTCCCAGGCCCCACTGTGGGTGGGAGGGAAGACCCAGGAAGTATAGTCTGGATCCTCCACTGCTCACCGTCCTACAAAGAGGCAGGACTGACGGGTCAGGTGGGAAAGAGGGGGGTCTGACATTAAAAACAAGCAGACAAAAAAAACTAGCAACATGGTGACAATAAATTAAAAGCAAATTTATAAAACCTGGGATGAGGCGAAGATAAATTTCCCACAGCAAGCACCACTAACTTGGAATACGAGGTATGGTAAAGGAATGAAAATGTCTTATTTTTAATCGTTCTTTCAATTTCTTCCATTGACTAAAAACAAAACCATTTAGAAAAACAAAAGCAACAGTACAACCCTGCTGTGGCTCATAGATGTTTCCATCATCAAGACACTAGAAGGGCCTCGGGGAGGGAGCCAGTGTCTTCAGAGCAGGGCTGCAATTCCCAGAAAGTGAAGGACAACGCCCCTTTAGGCCTTCCATCTTCCATTAACCATTTAGCATAAGCCTGTGCCAACGCTCCACTCAGTTCACACTCAAGCAGACCGCACAGTAAACTTTAATCTCTTCTAGAAGATGGGGCACCGCCAATGAAAACGGCCAACACTGGAAGGTGCTGAATGAATGTCAGACAGTTTGGCTGTCAGGTCATCACATCAGGTGGAGGTTTGGGCTCAGTGCTTCTCACACCTGGGACCCCTAAGAATCCCTGCAGGAGGCAAAAAATAATGTTGACTCCACAGTCTATCCTCCCCATTCTGATCTAATCGTTGGGGAGACAGAAAGGGGACCGGTGTTTGCAAGCCCGCGCAGATGGCTCAATCAGTGTTCCCACAAACACTGGGCCCTGCCCGTCCCCAGCATCACTGCCCACCTGCGGGAAACGGGAAGCCGGAGTTCCATATCTCTCAGATTCTGCCTCAAAAAAGAGTGCAGGGCCCTTGGGTCCTCCATTGCAGCTTCTCAGGAGCACCTGGTCTCCAGCTGGCTAGGTTACAGGAACTGCATGCCATTTTCAACAGCTAAAGAATCGCCTTGTTTACATATTTCTGTCAACTTAAAAACGGCTTATTGCCAACATGTGCAGTCAACGACCTTGCTCTAACAGAAGAATGCGTTGCTCTACTCATGTTCTCCCTCACTGTGTAACAGTGATTGATCCTCACAAGTATCCACCCAAATCTTACACTTGCATGTCCACATTACAAGCTGGAAGACTCAGTGTACCCACCTTGTAAGCCATCAGAACAATGTGTTTTAATTTAGAGAGAAGTAAATTACGAAGACAGGTCAGGGCATGTTTCGTTGACCATATTCTCTCTTCCCACCCCACGCCCAGTGTGCCCGCGTTTCGTGCTTACCCATTGAGGCCATGATGTAGCTGACAAGCTAACCCAGGCATCAGTCTGCCCTCCCAGCTGTGCCATGTGTCATGAAGGTAGGGACGAAACAAACCAATGACCCAGGACCCACCTGTTAACACACACATGCCTATTCCTGGGTTTTGTACTTGTTTCTAGAGGTCCACTGTTTAATTGGTACCAGAGAAAACAAAGGAATGGAAGAAGGCATTGTTTTTCCTTGCCACCGAGGTCTCCCCCAACCACTGCCTTATCAAACAGAACCAAACACGATACCGAGCCGGCTCTCCACACGTCTAGTAGGTGCACATCCCCGGGAAGTGCTGACACTGAGCACACGAGAGACGTTTCCATCCACTGGAGGACTCACACAAAGGCGGCTATGGCAGAGCCCTCCAATGTGCAATAAAAACACTGTTTAGATGAACAACTTCAACTCTTCAAGTAGTTCCTGCTCTCAGCTCTGGTACGGATTTCTGACTTCACAGCCCACTTCCCCCACCTCTCACGCATGTCTGCAGGAAGTGGGGTGTCTTCAGCTTGTTCTTCTTGGCCCACCACCACCCGCCTGTCCCCTGTAGCTCAGGTCACCCCAGGCACACAGCCATGAGGTTTAACTGCAAGCCGTCCTCAGTTCAACCAGAAATTCAGTTGTCACGCTCTTGATTCGCACTAGAGGGAGCCATTGAGCCAGGTGCCTCTGCCCATCCTTTCCCAACTGAGAGGAGCAGCTAGAGCTCAGGAGAAAAATCATCTGTTGGTTGGGAAGAGTCCCCTTGGGCTTTAAAACTTGAATTAAAAAAACAAAGGAGCCTAAAAAAACCAGAACTCTCCTGGGCAGGCCATGAGTTATATAGAAGGGGAGGGAAGGCCTGCTGGTGTGGCAGGCCCTCTGTCAGAGAAAGACCCAGTTTAACGAGCAGTAGGACAAGGCGGACGTTTGGCCCCACTCTCAAAAAACACCCAGGTTCTGGTGGCAGTCTCTAATCTTTTAATAGCACCTGCTCCCACCAGAGGCAACGTCACGGAGTCACAAATATTCCTCGACAAACACGTGCAACTCAAACTACAAGGCTAACTTGGAGAGGAACACAATAAAACAAACATTATTACAGCTAAGCTGGGTTTTCGACATTTCTCTCCCTGGATGCTCGTATTTCATTTTCCAGAACTGTGTAAGAATATTCCCAATTCTTTAGTCTGCACAGAGCTGAAACCCCCACTCTGAATCTTAGGAGGCTAGGACTTTGCAGCAACCCCTGCACATTTTCACTTGAAAATCTTTCCTCTGAAGGTAGCACAGCGTGTCCTAAGGAGGCCCAGGCGAGTTGATGATTTTCTTCTTCACATTACAGCCCAGCCTCGGAGCCATAAAGAAGCACAGGGAGGCGACCGTGCTCAGCACAGCCTAACACCCACGTCCTGGCTGACCAACCGCACATTTCTGTACAGTAAAAATTCCCTCATGACTCCTTGGAAAACTAGTATTTCAAAACCCCCTCTAGGTATAAGCTCTTGTTCTTTACCCTTCTAAATTTCTTTCTTTTTACTACATTTAAACCCAAGTTCTATTTTAAGGAAACAAAAAATAGTTTTCACTCCTTTGTCAGACACCAACCACACAACCAAATCACCATACAGGGGAGCCACTGCCCCCTGACAATCGCAGGGCTGTTATCTACGCGTGTGCCTCACGTGCCAGACAGCATGTCTGGCGTGACAGAAGCCAGGGGGCTGGCAAGGCCCCTTGCACTAAGAAAAAGGCATAGGTGAAGTGCACGTTCAAAGATCTAAGTCTCGGGGCCTGGGGCCTGTAGGAAGCCTAAGACCTACATGGCATTGGAAGAAGGGCTGTTTAGTACAAACCAGGAGTGATCAGATAACGCCAGGGCAAACGGGACAAGGTCACTTCCCGGCAGCACCCCAGCACTGCGTCCCTGCACCCGCCCACCTACACTTCATACACTCGTGTGTGTCGTTCTCTTCTAGGCTGACAGAGAAAAATTAATCACATCTGAAATTAAAGATCGGAGTATCCTTTGGGCCCCTATCTTGTAAGCAGCTGAAACGATGCAAGGTCAGATTCTAATTATTTGCATCAAGCAATTACAAAAGAATCTACAATTTGCTTTGATTGACCTTATTTTCGGAGTACTTAACTAATGGAATTCGATGGTTTCAAAATTATCATTTCATTTCTCACAATATCCCTGTGAGATGAATTGACATGACTGGCTCCAAAAGAACCATAGGGCCCAGAAAGGTTACTGTATATCACATCTTAAGTGTCAGAAGCTCATAGCCAGGGCCAGACTAGAACTGGGAGCCCTGGGCCATCCCGTCTGGGTTGGTTAAGACATGGGGTGAGGAGGCAGGCGGGAGGGGCCGGAGGGAAGGGGTGATAGGAGGAAGCCCCCCTGAACACCTGCACCGTCACACCCACCTGCAAAGACGCTACCTGAACAAAGCAAGCCAGCCAAGCTCCTGCATTTACTCAGGTGGCAGGCGCCTGCTCTGTAAGGGGCACCCAGAGCTCTCCAACTGCGAGGCCGCATGTGCGTGCCCGCAGAGCAGAGGGCAGGGTGACCCCAGGGCACGGGATACATTCTGCTCCCCTCAAATCTCACCTCCAATGGTGCGAATTCTTCTTACTCCTAACAGTGGGAAATCCTGAATTGAAAGGCAAGTGCTAAGACCAACGGAGACCGGAGGTTTACTCAGTCCAGCCTCAGACATGGACGTGGTGAGAGAAAAGTGTGTGTATGATTATGATTCTATGCGAATATAAAGTCACATATTTACCCCCTATAAGCTCTCCGTTCTTACCCCACAGACGGGTCCTCTCCTTCCTTGGGCCTCTTTTTCATTGTTTTCTTTCATGAACAACACACCTGTAGGAGAGTTCTACACAAGGGCCTATCACACCATCAACTTTGGAAACGAAATGGGGATAAACCATCAGAGACACAGAAACAGAAGTATGTGCTCTACGCTTTGTGCCTCTTGGTCCTGAAAATCGGGCACCCAGCGCTTGGGAGGCCGGTCCCACAACCACACTCATTCTCTTTAGGAAAATGGGGACGAACAGGCCGTGTTTAAGACACGCTCACACTATGTGCTTTATCTCAAGATAACGCTGCGAAGGATGGAGTGAGTTCAAGGAGGGTTCTGCCACGCCCAGCCCACCCCCACCTGAAGAGCTGAAGGATATTTGAAGCTATAGGTCAATAGTAACAACGTGCGTGTGTAAACACACACTCCTATGCGTGTGTATGAATACAGTCACACAGCCCGAGAGAAATACTTCTAACATCATCGGGAATGAGAAAGACCACAGGTAAAGAACAATTCAAAAGGAGGAATTCCACTATCTTACCACCACAGTGACCATCTGTTAGTCATTCTGGAATACTGCCAGCTGAGAAATCTCTCTGTCCACCCACAGCTCCCCCTGAATAAATCTTTAAAGATACAGTCTCCCGTCTATTTTAGGGAAGAATTGAACTCTGTGTGATAAAATTCTCGATGAGGCGAGCTTATCTGTGATCCCCAGGGTTCACTGCCGCTCACATGGAGTTAGAACAGGAGTGGAGGGTCAATGAAATGCCGGCTGACCCTGCGAGCCAGCCCTTCTCCGTGTTGCCCCCAGGCACCTGCCTTTATTCGTACCATCTCGCGCCCAGGGTCCAGAGAGATCACTGTCTGTGGACATGAACGCTGTGACAGCAACAATGGCTGAGCCCTGAGGCCATTCTTAAGAGTGTCCCCAGTAGGATCTGTGTTATCTGAGCTGACCCTGAGCCGGGGTGCAGATGGGGGGTGCCGGTGAGCAGTGGGAGCAGCGAGAGCAGTGTGCGTCCGCCCTCTGCTGATCCTGCGGTGCAGGACTGAAATGCGCCTGGCTGGGCGAAGCCCCCGCTCACCCTGCACCCCATCTCACGCAGACCACTCGGCAGCGTGGTGCCCACGCACGGCCTCTGCTCAGAAGTCCTGGTGGGCAGATGCTAACCTGTCACATGACGAAGAACAGCTCAACAGTCCAGGCTCATCCACCGAGAGCCCAGGCAAGCTGCAGGCCTATCTGAAAGTGCATTTACCTGCTCTTGGCCTAACTATTAATAATGTGCCCCCAAGACTCTGCAACTCGCCTGCCGCCTGCCCAGGGTATGTGGGGGGATGAGGAGGAACGGAGGTGAGCTCCCCTTCCCACCTTTCCTATCTACTCTGATACCCAGGATGCAGCACGATCCAGGGGTGAACGCAAACCCCCCACCCCAGCGAGACGGGCTTCCCGAGGAGAGGGGCGTGTGCTCGCACCCCTGTGCAGAGGTGATGTTTCTGGCTCCTCACCTCACCTCTGAGCATCACCTTCCTGTCTTATAAGCCCTGGAAACTTGCATTTCTTGAGGCTGCTTACTCACATTTCCCCTTTAGTGAACTTGGTGACATGGGGAGGTGGCATCTGGCAGGCAGGCACCCTTGGGCCAGACCACAGTCACCGGTGCGGCAGGGCGGGGCTTTACCTGTTTCCGTAAGTCCTGAGCCGACCGATGCAGAGGGGGGTGGTGGTGGGCAGCAGCGGGCCCCTTGGCCAAGGAGCCCGTGGAGGGGGCCATGGGCGGGTGGCTCGCGGGAGCCTGCTCCCTCCGGCTGTCGGCCCGGGGATCGCTGTGCTTCTCCTTGCCGGGAGTGGCCTCTTTGCTTCTGTGTTTTTGCACAGGTTCCTTCTCCCGTGATGACCTGCTAGAACCGTTGAAAACTAGGGAAGAAGGAGAGAAAGGGAGAATGAAGTCACTACGCTGAGTACACTGCCACGAAACCTAAACTTCCTGAGGTCAAAGAGAAAGAAAAGACGTTTCTCCCCATCGGTCAAGTCTCATCACATCCCCAAGAGCAGCCCGGGTGACCCGGCACAGGCGCCGAGACCAGGAATAATCCTAAACAGGGACAAAGGAGAAATTATAAGCATATCCTAACAGTTACTTGCTTTAGTCCAAATGACTGAAAAATCCATTTTTCAAAATCCCTACCCAAGAATCCCACAGCCCTCAGAATATCAGCATCATGCCTTAAACACAAAGAGAGAGAAATTAAAATGGAGACACTACCACCCAGTCACATGCCAAGCTAGGAGTACCTCGGGTACACAGACATGGGGGATCTGGAGTAAGATGTAAAGTTATGCATTTTGAGGCTGAAGATCTGCTGACAAGAGTGGGTCGGGGACCACACAGGGGCAAGGGGCACCGGCTCTGAGCCAGACCCACTTCTATTCCAGAGGTCAGAACAGCAGGAACACTAACGCGATCTGTGCTGACCAAGAGCCAGGGAGCAGTGTTAACTGGCGCTGTGAACCGCGCTCAGCCTCTGAATCTGCAGGGACAGGCCATTCTCATCATGCCCATTTTACAGATGAAGCCAGAAAAGGCATAAATAAGACAGGCTGCCTGTCACAACACACACCCACCCTCCTCGCCCCTCCCCCCAGGTGGTTCTCAGTTTTCACAATTACCAATGTGCACACTGAATCCCACCCACTCAGAGAGGTCAAAAGGGAGCAGTGATGCCCAGGGTTTTCACAGTGCACTTCAGTGCCGCTGCTGTCCAGCTTTCTCTTGATGCTCTACAGCTAGGGCTTGCAAATCTGGACAGACTCGTCAAGTCCGGCTCCTCCCTGGGAATCAACGAGCCTTTCCCATCTGCTCCTCTTGCACCCACAGGTCTCCTCCACTCCCCCCAAACCACCCCAGCAAGCTAAGGAGGGTGGCCACCCATGCCTGGTCTGCTCCACCCCACGAGCTTCAGGCTGAGCAGCCTGAGGAAACGATAGAGAGCTCCTTTCAATGTCATTTTTAGAAGGCTCCTGGTGCCTTTCCTGACAAAGGGAGCCTTACAAGGTTACCGTGTCTACCTGCCCACTGGGGCAACCTTCACTCCAGGCCATGCCCCCCTCACCAACCCCAATCTGGGACTTGCAGAATTCCAGGCAGAGCTCACTACCTGACCAGGAAGCTCTAAAGAGAAAAAACTTCCTCCTTTGAGCGGAAACCTGCTTCTTCAAGACAGCAGGAAGAGAAGTCCAACTCCCCTTCCTAGCTGCCCTGCAGAGAGCTCCACGTCACTACTTCTCTCTTAAGGATGCCCTGCCCCAGACCTGTATCCACAGTCCCTTCGCACTCTCTTTCACCTCCATCTGCAACTGTCCTTTATATTACACTTATGCCTTACAGGCTACAAATATTGTCTCCTAATTTGTCATTTGCTTTTCCATTTCTTGTGGCGCTAAATCTGCTAGCCCATTTTTTTTTAAAACGTTTCTTTCATTGTTGTTATGCTTAGAAAGCCCTCCCATGTTTTCAAATGGTAAAATAATCCTCTAAGTCTCCCAACTGTTTTTGGATTCAATTGCTTAGATTTACTTCTTTAGTCCATTTGTTATTACTTTGTATATGGTACACACTGAGATTTACACTTCGCATATCTGAGCTGGATGTGAACCTTGATCTCTATAAAGATTCTCCTGGCCCCAGTGATTACATTCTAACTAGATTTGCAGGGAAGTAAAGCCCACGCCACATCAAAATATGGTCAGTGATCCTGTATTGTATAAGGTTCTACTAGATGCTCTCACTCAGTTACAGGAAAAATGAAGAGCTTCAAATGGCTGGCATTTATTCTAAGTGTAAGTAGCTGCACATTGTCAGAAACCATCCATCATACCCAACCTGGTGGTATCTGTGCCTGCTTTCAAGACAAATTAAAAGCAACATCTTTAAGAAGTCATACTTCAATGAGATTAGAAAGGAAGCCAAAGAACATGAATCTAGGCAATTCTTGACTGTTCCCCAAGTTTCTTAAGCAGTGAATACAGCTCCTTTATTGAAACATGGCACAGGAAAAGTTTTTTGAACCTCAAATATTACATACTTCTGCTTTGTTACTGCCACTCAGATGTGTACCAAGGTACAGCCTACAAAAAGTACCAGTTCTATAATGACTTCTCTTTGTGCAGTTAAAAAAAAAATTTATTTTATGGGTTTGTCCCCTCTCATTAACACTATAGGAGCAGTTCAATTCCCAGCCCTGCAGTTAACAACTGGGCAAGTGATTTAATCCCTCAGTTTTCTCATCTATAGGCTGGGGATAACAGATACTCCTGAATGGAGTGTGTCTAACACAATGTCTGGGGTTCAGTAGGCACTTAACATTTAGTAAAAAGTACTGCTGCACATTTAAAAAGACCATCTCAGGTTGCTACATAATCATATTGTGGCAGGATCTCTGTTTGTCCCCCGTCCTCCCTGCAGCTACAGTGTAAAAAAGGGCTCAATGCAGACAGGCGGCTGGCCTGAAGACCCAGCACCACCTCCTACTTGAGCCCAGCTGCCTCCCAATGTTTCATGGGAAAAAGAGGCACTGCCAGTGCCCTGCCCGAGCAAGCAGAAATACAAGGCTAAAAACACTTCCCACATCTCTGCTAGCTTACTGGGTAACTTGACCCTTGGGGGACCCAGTGACCCTTTCAGGGGCTCCCCTAGGTCAAAACTGTTTTCAAAATTATCCTATGATATTATTTGCCTTTTCCACTGTGTGGCTATTTCAATGATGTTGATGGCTAAAGGTGGATTAGCTGTCAGGGAAATTCCAAGTCCAGGGTACCACAAGATACCACTTCATCCGCTAGGATGGCTATGCTCAAGGAGACGGATAACGGAGCATCGGTGAGGATGGCGAGAAACTGTAGCCCGCATACACTGCTGGTGGGAATGTAAAAGGATGCGGTCACTTTGGAAAACAGGCTGGGAAGTTCCTCGAAAGCTGAAACCGAGTTACCACGTGACCCAGCAATTCCACTCCCAGGCATGTACACAAGAGAAATGAAAAACATGTCCACAGAAGAACTTGTATACAGACGTTTGGAGCAGAATTATTAATAATAGTTAAAAATTGGGGGGGGGTGAAATCCAAAGGTTTGATGAACCTGGTACTTAAAGAGCAACAAATGGGGTATTATCCATCCATAGTAAGGATTCAAGTACTAATGATACACGCTACGGCAGGGATCCATTTGGAAACATTATTAAGTGAAAGAAGCCAATGACAAAAGGTCACATAGTGTATGATTCCATTCATATGAAATGACCACAACAGACCAATACATAGAGGCAGAAAGTAGACTGGTGGCTGCCAGGAACTGGGGAGGTTCAGGGAAAACGGGAGGGACTGCTAACGGGAGAAAGATTTTTTCGGGGGTGAGGGGTGGGGGGGGGTGTGGGGGGAAGGTGTCTTTAAATGGGTAATTTTTTTGATATGTGAATCACATTTCAATAAAACTTATTTATTTTTTTTTATTTTTTTTTAAGCTGGGCCATCCTGCCACCTATTGGCAGATCAGCAGCTGCTCAGCTCAGGCAGGGACTCGAACCGCTGTTGCTCAGAGCTCTAACTCTTGAGCGAGCTCTTAACCAACTGAGCCACTCGGCCGGCCCTGAAATTTTTTTTTTTTTAAACACCAACAAAAGGTGGGCAAAATTACTGGTGACTTAACACCAATCAATGTCGTGGCACCAAACTAGACTAATAATTACAGTATTCTTCACTACCAGTTTAAAAACAAAGCCAGGTTCATTTAAGGAGGTGCTAAAGCAGTACAACTTGTTAACAGCATTAAATCTTGACCCTTGAGTGCACATACTTTGTGTGACAAAATGAGAACTACACATAAAGCACTTCTCCACACACCCAAGTAGGATGCCTATTTGCAGAAAAAAGCATTTGCGTGACTGTTTAAGTTGCACGCTAGCTGCTTTTTTCATGAAATGCTATTTTTATTTGAAAGAAGAACCAATATAGTTATTTGGCCATTTTCTCAAAAATGAATAAAGTAAGCCTGTCAAGGAAAATAACTAATAGTTATGGCTGCCAATGATAGAATTCACAATTTCAAGCAAAAATTACAATTCTGAAAAACCTCTCTCTGCCGCCATGAGTTTGACAGCCTTTCAACACTGAGAGACTTTTCTGATGAGGTCAGTGGAGATACAGGGTTCTTTGATGCAGCATAAGGAAAGGTGCCGACAATTGGAAAGAGGAACATAACTCAGCGCACCATTATTTTCAAACGATCAATACAAGACATTACAAAATTGTGCATGGGTAAGAGATCCATTCAAAGTGGAAGGCCAACCGATGGGTTTTAATGTAACCAAGTATGAGATGTTCAGTGATAAAGGCTCATATTCCTGTAACAACTGACCTTTAAGAAACTACTGGGTTGCCGGGAAAGTCATGACATATGTTTTCTGTTTTTCGTTGCAAAAATGCGTTATGACTTTTCCGACGACCCAATATCATTGGCTGAGCATGGGTGTGATGTCAAAGAATAAAGTCATCTGCGAAGGTCCCTGCCCATTCCAGCTACTTATTTGTCTGGGACTGATTTTCTTCATATGTCAACCAAAACTATATATTGCAAGAGACTGAATGAGAAGCTGGCATTAAGAATCTAGCCGTCTTCCACTAAGCCAGACATTAGAGAGATTGGCAAAAATGTAAAACAACACAACTCCTCGCTTATAACTTCTTGGTTTTGGAATACAATTACTTTTCATAAAAATGCTCTTTGTGCTCACATGTAATGGGGTTTGTGCTATTTTTGAATGAATAAATATTTTTAAATTTCCTTAGTTGTAATGTTAACATGGTAAATATCAATAAATGCAATCCATATTAACAAACGTCTTTTGTTGGGCGGGGGCA